CACAGTCAACAGCAAAACCACGTGACAACTAAGAGGAGAAGCTATGGGAGCACAGAGGGGGTGGCTGACGCACACTGGGAAGGAAATACTCAGTGTGAACTATCTAATTTGATCCTCTGGGAAACTCTTCTAGAAAGATTTTATATCATAGATAAGGCTCCAGAAGGTTAACTGTTTTGCTGTTTCATATGACTAGCAAGCACCCAGTTAGTATTTGAACCTAGGTTATCATACTGCCTCCATGTTAAAAGCTGAAAGGCACTGTCCACTCAGATTATCTTCTATGTAAGGAAAAAGCCAGGCAACTTGTCTAGAGACACATGACTCATCCTGAAGCAGAATCTTGTCTCCTGAACCCCAAGTCAAGGGATCTTCTGTATACCATTCTTGTATGTTTCAAACAAGAGTTCTTAACCTAGAGCTCATGTACCAACTGAAATCACATGTGAAATGTGTGTATTCTGCAGAAAGGGCCCAAAATCTTAATCAAATATGGAAAAAAAAAGAGTTCCTTAAAAGGACAGTTGGTCTATAACACTTCATTTTCATCTCTGTTTTGAGTACCAATGATGGTACATTTCTAGCTCTTTGTTTACTTTTTGGAGGAATAGTGATCACTGAAAAGAAGAATCCTCAAGATTTCAGTTCCAAAAGCCAAGAAAGAACTCTCAAGTCATAAAAGAATTCCAATGGAAAATAAAACCTTTAGAAATCTTCTTAGATGGACTCCTAGTTAATTGGCTCACATATACTAGTTAAAAGGACAGCAGCTGTGTGCAGAGATTCAATTTAGAATTACAAGATTTTATCACCAAAGAGCTGGTGAAACTAGAAAAGTACTGATACTTTTACTCTCTGAGCTTTAGTAGCCTCACCTGTGAAACAGACACCCTATCACTTCCACACAGGGTTGTAGTGTCAGTGATGCAAATAAAAGCACCTGTTAGTGTACAAATGGCATACAGCAGATGTTCAACAGATACCATTTGAAGCCCCAATCTTTAGATTAAATTAAAACATGGATTTATAAGTACTTTGCCCTATACTTCTAAATCTTCAACAGAAAGGTGTAGCTGGAAAAAAAATTTTTCTGTTACTTTTATATCTCTTTACACAACTTAGAAATTGTGGTCAGTAAAGGAGACAGTGAAGACTGTTGAGAAATTAAGAGTAACCACAGTAGAATACTTCTTTACAAATAGTAGGTATATAAAAAATGTCAGTTCTTTTTCTTCCTATCTGTTGCCTTCAAACCACTCATTACTACTTCACACTCTCTATAATTTCATAACTACCATTCTTGGCTTTCACCGAGTTGGATCATGAGGGTCTCTACGCTTAGTCTCTAGCCTCGTGGAGAGGCCCTCTGTCAGCTGTTAATTCTGAGATTATAAATTACACAATCATTTCTCTAAATGACAATTCAAAAGTTTCAGTAAGACTCACACTCTGATTTGACGAATAGGTCCATATTTCCCAAATATATCATACATTTCTTCAGCTGTGATTTTGTAAGGCAAATTTCTTATATATAAAATCCGATTTACTTCTGGTGGAAGTCGAATCTAAAATGAAAGATAATGGGTTATTATTATAATCAGAGACAAGAGTGCTACCATTTGAAAACACTGTCTCATAATACATTCTAAAAAAAAAGATACATAATTTTTATACACCAAGAACTGTAATCTGACATTAACGAAAATGGCATGCTCTTGGGAAAAGCAACTGGGCACTGGTTATAGGGAGGGCTGTTAGTAGGAACTAACAAAGTCCAGGACTTCCCTGGTGGCTCAGATGGTAAAGCGTCTGCCTACAATGTGGGAGACCCACGTTCAATCCTGGGTTGGGAAGATCTCTTGGACAAGGAAATGGCAACTCAATCCAGTATTCTTGCCTAGAAAATCCCATGGACGGAGGAGCCTGGTAGGCTACAGTCCAAGGGGTCGCAAAGAGTCAGACATGACTGAGCGACTTCACTACTATTACAAAATCCAGATTTTTAGTCATTACAGGTAAACAAAGATATCCAACCTCATTTAAAAGTCCTCAATGCTACAGACATTTGTGGGAAAGAACAAGGGAACTGTTTCCTGTTTACTGGATAATAAAACTCCCACTGACGACCCTTCTCTGGTCTCAGAAACTTGTTCTATCAATGATCCCCTCCTTTAAATTTACAGCCTTTTCCTCACTATTGGCTTTATTCCTCACGTGACCAGTTGCTTATATACTCTCAATTGTCACACAAAATAAAACACTTTGGATCCCTCTTCATTCATTCAAATATTTAGTGAGCACCTTTGTTATATATATACATTAGGATTACAGAATGAAGGGGAAAAAAAGAGCTACTTACTATCCCATCTTGCTCCTTTCTTTTCTTTCAGTCAAGCATTTGAAAAGATGCAGTGTATATATTCACTGCCTCATATTTACTTCACGACAACTCATTAACCTACCACAATCTAGCTCTACTCAAGCACTCTGATGAAAATTGTTTTTATGCACTAAGACCTTGCACTTACAATGTTCAATTCTTATCAGCTCTTCTGAGGCTTCTGACACTGTTGACTATCATACCTTCTTGACTATTCCTGACACACTATTGCCTTGGATTCCTCCTAATTTTCTGGCTAGTAGTCCTCAGTCTTCTTTGGCCATTAAAATAGGATTTTCCAAAGAGTTTTATCTTTAGACTTCTTTTTTTTTTTTAGACTTCTTGACTCTTCATATACTCCCCGTAACTCTACATTCCTTTGGTCTCTTAACTACACATGCTTTCCACACTAAGTTGATGGCTCCCAAATATGTATCTCCAGTCCAGATTTCATTCTTGTGCTCCTTTTTAACATACTAATTACATACTGGACATTATTAATGTGCAAAATAACTATTAAACCAGCATCTATCTCAGGCATTAACAATAAAGTGTTGTATAAATGAAAGAACAAGATAACTTACTCCCGGCCCTCAAGTTATTAGTGGTGACAAATGGTAAACAAGTACAATCAAGTTTTAGACGTAAAGATTTAAGGCTCAGTTCAAGTAGATAATAAACAATGTCAGACAATCACAACATGCTTCTCTAGTAAATCCGCTTTCTGACTCTGCAAGACACTGTATCACATTTCCTCCTCTTTCCTCAAATCCTACCATCACCACTCCCTCTGACATCTGAGTTGAACTGTAACCTCTCTTCCCTGCTCATCTCAGGTGATAACCCTGGTTCTTGCTTATTAGAGAAAACAGATATAACCAAATGGTAAGTGCCCTATATTCAATCTTCACTTATCCATATTCATCCACTTTCTCTCTCATTGCTATGACAACCTCTCACCTACCCCAAACTACTGAATTTAACCCATCTTTCTCCTGCATCCTTGGCATACAAATAAACCTTATATCACACATCTTTTAAAAAAGTTAACAGTCATCCAACTTCTATTTACATGAAAACTTGTGTTTTCATTTCCATCTCCATTTTCTCAATTTCTACCTTTTTTTCATCCCACCGTATTCTACGTTTATCCACTGAAATGATTATCATCGAAGTTACCAAAAATCTTCATCTCACCATATTCAATTATGTCTTCACCTTAGTATACCTCTCAGCAACTTAAAGCGGACCACTCTCTTTCTCCAGACAATTTTTCTTAGGTTTCCATAACACCCCACTCCCTAATATTACAATGTAAGCAGCAGGTCTTTTTTTTTTTTTTTAATTCATTTTTGTATCTCCAGTACGTAAGACTAGTGTCTGGCACATAGTAAGTGTTCAATAAATATGACTGACTTATTGGATCCTCTCTCAAGTCTGGAACATACTAAGGTGCTCAAAAAATATCTTTGAAAACATTAATGAAGGATCCAAAAATTCCATAATCTGAGAATACTTCCAGGTTCCAGCTGCCTGTTAAGCCTAAGTGATTTATGGGAGGTTCAACTCCTCTACTGACTTTTAGGCCAAGAAGAAGATCCTGATGCCAGATTCCAGGTGCACGTGAAGCAACTTAGGCTGTTAATATTACCACTGACACTAGGATAACAGACTCTAAAACAACAGTGACGGAAATGTGACTCAAGGAGCACATCCCTAAGGCCAGGGCCAGGATGGAATCTCCCCTCTGACAGGTAACTTCTGATTCTTCCCGCCGAAGGGACAACGGAGGGCCAAGAATGCTCTCTGGTCACGCCAGCAGCCAAGTGCTCCCCCTCCTCGGAAGAAGTCCCCGACACTCACGTTCGCCCTCTTGGCCGCTTGCATCGCCATCTTGGCGGACTGATGAAGTTACCGCAGCAAACACTTGAACTCCTCCGCAAACACTTGAATTCCTCCGCACTCCTGGGAGCTCGCTCACTTTCGAGCGCAACAAGGCATCAGATGCAGGACATCAACACCCAGACCCCGCCGGAAGCTGTTCTAACTCGCCGGAATATCACAGTCTCACGCCGAAACGTGCTGACGTAGCCTACCCTTACAAATAAGACTCTAGAGCAAAATGGGTCTGAGGTACTTAACGAGGCCGGAAGGTTGAAAGGCGAGAGTCCAAGGCACTTCCGGGCTCTGAACCGGAAGGGGCGGGGCCTGGCTTAAGAAGGGAAATGTTCCGGTCGTGGAGGCCTTGAACCGCGGAAGTTGGCTGGAGGGGGCGAGGCCAGAAGAGAGCTCCGCAAGGCGGAAGCGGGCCTCGCGAAGTGGGTCTGCACGCTGGTGAGTTGCGGGAGAGGACTGGCAGTGGAGTGGGGTCCCGGGCTGCAGGCCCCGCGCTGCGTGCGAGGGGACGTGTGCATGCGTCCGGGCCTCTGACTGCGCGGAGCCTGCAAGCTTCTGGCTGGTTGTGTTGTGGCCGACACTGTATCTGGTACTTAGAAGCCCTGGCGCTAGCGCAGGTCCCCGAAATTGGGCATGAGCTGACTCTACTCTAATCTCCGCGACTATGCCTGTCCTGACTCCCACCTCTCCCCCCAGCCGGCGACCGGAGTCCACGCGCCACTCGTCAAGTCCACTCTTTATTTCCTTAGACCGTCTTTATATTGATAATTTGAGGAGGCTGGGGGAGGAATAGGGGGTTACAGGCGAGCCTGGAGTGGCGCCCGATAGCCTGACTGCGTACAGAGTTTTCTCCCAAGTTTGCTGTCGGAAGTCTTGTACTACCCCCTTCTTCACTGGGGCAGCTCCAGGACGATTTTGCCCACGTTCTTGTTAGTCTCCATGTACTCATGGGCTTCTTGGATTTCAGCCACGGGGTAGACTCTGTCCAGAACCGGCAGTAAGCGTTGAGGGCCCTCCGTGGAGAAGTGGGGCAGAATTTGCTCTGTGAAAGCCTTCACCAGCATCTGCTTGTACTTAAGATAAGGAAAAGAAGACCGTCAGCCTGGATGGAGACCTTTCTTTGTCACTCCCCACCCTGCTTAGCGTTTCTGCTTTCTCTGAAACTTGTACACATATGAAGTCACACAAGAGTATGTAATAATCACCTCACTCCTAGCATGTATGTGCATGCCTCTAGATTTGTAAGCTCGGTTCTGTACTAGGTAAAGATCAAAGCCTGGTGAAAATATTAGTGTCACTGCAAGCTGAAGGACTCTTTTAAATAAGGACTTCAAGTCGGAGGCAGCCACAGAGAGGACTTATATAAGGCTCAATTCAAAAGAGATGCTTAACCCCTGTTATCCCCCAGCAGGTGTGAAACCCTGTGAGGAAACATTCCCAAAGCTGGCACCTGTTGGAATGCTACACAATTTCAGGAATGTATAATCTGTTAAAGGTAGAAGCTTACTAACCTTACTTACCTAAGAGGTTTTCTTAGCACACTGAGAACAGTTCTGCCTTTGCAAACAAAAGTCTTGGTACTATTAGAAATACTTCCTAATATAGTCAAGGCTTTGTTCATTTTATATGAAGTTTACATACTATATTAAGTATTAACTACCCTCTTTCCAAGATGTTGAGGCCTTCATCAACCAATTTTAATTAGTTCTTGAAATTAGGTTACCAGTTTATCCACAGTGGGGCAGGTTTCTACAGGCTCTCCAACTTAATATGTGATCCTTTCTCAGGATTATGTGAATGAATCACACTTTTCTGGATGATAGTTAAATCACATGTTTTATTTTCACCCATCACTCACCTTTTTGTCCCTAGATCTTAGAAGACTGGTAATCAGACTTCCCCTTTTAAAAAGTAGCTTTGAAAACAGAGGCCCATTGACGTCAGCTCCTCCCAGCAGACCATAGAGAACCCAGCGACCATCAAGAGCCAGGCAGTTGACATTTTTCTCCCAGTAGGAGCCCCCTATGCAGTCTAGAATGAGGTTGACTCCAGCACCTTTCACATGAAACACAGATTTGTGATGCTAGTCAGAATCAGAAAGATTGGTGCAAAAGAAGATTACATGGCATATTTGTGGAAATATGGGTATAAATATATACAAGTGCAAGCAGTAAATCTATAGGTTGGAACCCAGAACATTGCTTATAGAACCATGGTTGTAAATGGAGTTTAGAGACCTGAAGTCTATCATATATGTGTGATATAGTTCATATTTTATGATCCCTGCCACAGCAAGAGGGAAATGGGGCAACACCATGATCTGGTATTTTCCCTGACCTCCACATAAGTAGAGACCCACTGGCACCCAAGGGAATACGGGAGACCCACCCCAGCCTACAGGACAGGCTAGTCCATATCTAAGTTATGAAATGTCTGCACAGGGTTCTCTGAATCATGGCTTTGCTAGCTTTGTTTTTAACTCTCTTTTTGATTCTTGTCAAAAAATGGAATCGAATGAGCCAAATATAAACAGATTTGGCTCTAGAATATAGAGGCATACACATCTACTTACCCACTTAGGACACTACCTACCAAAGCCTACTATGACCAGCTCCAAACTAGTTTCTCCCAATCAAAAAATGTGCCAAAGAACTAAACAGACATTTCTCCAAAGAAGACTTACAGATGGCTAACAAACAAGTGAATTCCAGAAAAATAAACGACCCAATCAAACTAGTTTCTACCCCTACTGGCTTTTAATTCACTACAGAGTGACTGGTTGGGAAAAAGAGGTCCTGAGTAATTCCAGGCCAACTCTGTGTGATTATCCCCTTTGTAAAAAGCATATGAATTGTATCACTTATAAGAATGCCCATGAAAATCACCTTAGTCCTAAATACTGCCTGCCTGTCTCCAGTGGTCAAACAGTAGAGTACTAGAATTTGGCCTGGGCAGGTGTTAGGCTTTTAGCAGAGGGGAAAAAAATCCAGAAGCAACTTTGTGGCTGGTGAGAATTTTATTTAATTATCTCTGAAACTTCTGCTGAACTGCAGAAGCTTTGTTTACCTTTAGTGAATTTCAGTGTTGCTTCAGAAAAATCCTCTTCTTTGTAATTGAATCCTGCAGCTGCCCCGAGCTTTTCTGCTCTTTGAAGCTTCTGCTGGGAACCAGCTGTGACCAGAGGAGTAGCCCCAACCATCCGGGCAAGTTGGATGGCAGCTGTGCCCACACCACTTGCTCCTGCATGGATTAGCACAGAGTCTCCAGCCTGCACATTTCCTGTGATAGAAAGTATAGGAACCATTTTCTTTACTTTGCAACTGCTATACCTTTACCACATAGGCTTATTCTACTGTGATCACCTGGCCCTGAGACCACCAAATGTCAAATCTCTTGCTGTCTTATTTTAGAAATTATTTTTATTTGGCTGCATTGTGGCATGCAGGATCTTTGATCTTCGATGCAGTATGCAAATTCTTATTTGCGGCATGTGGGATCTAGTTCCCCGACCAGATTGAACCTGAGTCCCCTGCATTGGGAGCGTGGAGTCATAGCCACTGGACCACCAGGGAAGTTCCCATCCTTCACTTGAGAGTGAAGCAGCCAATCTCACCTTGATGCTTTTAGGCCACCTTGGTGTGCCTTCTGTCCATCACAGCTCTACCACCCTTCACGTCCTTCTATTCCAGAAAGCCTTTTCTGACTTCACCCATACCAACCTTTCTCACCTTAAGCTTCTGTTGTAGTTTGTAGTTAGAGACAGGGCCACCCTTCCAAACACTGCTTCTCTTCCCAGTTACACTGACTTCCCCAGAGACCCTCACATGAGCTCTTGGCTGGCCTCAGTGGGAGGAGGAATTAAAGAGTTGGTTGAATGGCTCCACCTGCTGCACTAGGGCTCTCAGAGAGCTTAGCAGGACTGAGAAGCTGGCCTCTGGACTTCTCTGGGGCCAGCAGCCGCCCAAGCAGGGGCCCGGGGCCACGGGCTCAGCCGACTACCATGGGCTCTGTGTCAAACCAGCAGTTCGCAGGTGGCTGCGCCAAGGCGCCGGAGGAGCCGCAGCTGCTGCACGGTGCCGGCATCTATAAGTGGTTCAACGTGCACATGGGGTTCGGCTTCCTGTCCATGACCGCCCGCGCAGGGGTCGCGCTCGACCCCCCGGTGGATGTCTTTGTGCACCAGAGTAAGCTGCACATGGAGGGCTTCCGGAGTCTGAAGGAGGGTGAGGCTGTGGAGTTCACCTTTTAAGAAGTCTGCCAAGGGCCTGGAATCTATCCGAGTCACCGGCCCTGGTGGGGTGTCCTGTACTGGGAGTAAAAGGTGGCCCAAAGGGAAGAATATGCAGAAACGCAGATCAAAGGGAGACAGGTGCTACAACTGTGGAGGTCTAGACCATCATGCCAAGGAATGCAAACTGCCACCCCAGCCCAAGAGGTGCCATTTCTGCCAGAGCATCAACCATATGGTAGCCTCGTGCCCACTGAAAGCCCAGCAAGCTCCCAGGGAAAGCCAGCCTACTTTCGGGAGGAGGAAGAAGAGATCCATAGCTCTGCCATGCTCCCAGAGGCTCAGAATTGAGCCACAGTGGGTGGGGGCTATCCTTTTGTGATCAGAAAGCTTTGAGGAGCAGGCATCAATCGGCAGAGTGGAGAAAGTGGGGACAGGGTGGGTAGGGGGCAGCTGGCACTGCCATATATCTGAGGCTGGAGTCCACAGCATCATCCCCTCTTCCCTCTTGGTGGGAAGAAGGGGTGAGGCAAAGAAACTCCAAATGCATATGAGGACTTTGGGGGTTAACCCTCCCTGCATGCTTTATATGAGTCTCCACCCCCAGAATCTCCAGCTTTTGAAAGTGGCCTGGGTAGGGAAGTTGTTTTAAAGAAGAATATGGAATAGTATTTCCCATATCAGAGTGTAAGAAGAACAGATTGATGGACCCAACCAACAAGCCACCACATTCCATGGGAGGAAACATCTCGGGGGGGGGAGGGGGTGGCAGGGTTTTCCTCTTCTCTTCTCATAACCCCCTCTTGGGACAGAATGCTAAAAACTGTCCCAAGTAATGGATTATGATGACAGATAAAGTGGTGATCGAGGGAACAGCTGCAGACTTGCTGCTTACAAGCTCACTCTCACCCCATCCTGGGCCAACTCAATTTTATTTATTTGCTGCCTTGGGTGACTGTACCTTGCATCCCACTTTCTCCAGGATGCCAACTGCACTAGCTGTGTGCGAATGACGTATCTTGTGCATTTTAACTTTTTTTTTTTTCGTAATATAAATATTCTGGTTTTGTATTTTTGTGTATTTTAATCTAAGGCCCTCATTCCTGCACTGTGTTCTCAGGTACGTGAGCAATCTCAGGGATAAGTCAGCAGCAGCTCCAGGTCTGCACGGCAGGAATGCTTTTTGTTGCTGTATCATCAGAGAAAACAACTATTTGGAGTGTATAGCCTATTGAACTACCTCATTTTTGCCAATTAGAGCTGGCTCTTCTGCCATAGTGTCCTCTTGAAACCCCTCCATCTTCAGCGTTTCATGAGAGACTAGGTTTTAACTGGGTTGCCCCATGACTTGGTCTCCTTCCTACTGAAAGATTGGAAATTGGTCTGAACAGGAAAACGTGGTGCAGAGAGGTTAGGAGAGGCTGGGCCAGGTAAGAAGTGCAGAGAGGGGAAGCCAAGATTTAGGTAAAGGTCATCTGTATGTGTGATAAAGGATTCCTGTTCCAGATCTATAATCCCAGGACTCGTTTTATATACCAGATCCATCCTTCACCTGACTGGGCTAGGCTGACCATGCACAACAGGGGGTGTGTGTTTTATAAAAAAATGGAAGTTGGTAAGGAGAGGTTTTTAAGAACAATGCCTCTGTACCCATCTTGAGCTGCCCAAGGATGGATATGTGAAGCAAGTACAAGATCTTTAACGATTCTGGGCTTTTCCTCCTTGGCTTCTGGAGAGACCATCAGCAATGGCTTCTTTGTGGTTCCCAGAGCCAGGGTCCTACCCTGCTGCAGCAGTGATTAGTATCATGGCAGCTAAAGGAGAAAGGGCGGTGGCGGGTCGGCGGGGGGGGTGTGCGTTTACAAGCTGTGAGATCACTGCAGACCTACCTCACTGTGTTGTCACGGGGCAAATACTATAGAACGCATTGGGTGATGTGTGTCTGATCCTTGTCTCTCCCAACTGCTGTCCCCCTCTAGTTATTATATTTGTCTGGGCTTTGTAGGACTTCACAAGTAGCTGATTTGGTGATTGCTAGGTGGCCTAGTTTGTGTAAATGTGTTGGTCTTCATGTTCTTTTGGGGTTTTATTGTTTACAAACTTCTTTTTATATTGAGAAAAATAGCCAAAGCATCTTTGACAAAATGTTCTGCACCAGGCAAAAAGATCTGAAACATAAGCTTGGGAGCCCCTCTTCTTGAAGTTGGGGGGGGGTCTTGAACTACACTTTCTTTTGTGTTCCCCTTCCTCTATTTCCTATTTCAAACAAGATCTCCTAAAAACTAGATTCCTACCCCATCCTCTTCCACGTTTGTGCCCCCCCAAATAGACCATATACCTATATGTTTAATATATGGGGTATCTGTGATTAAGTGATTTGTGCAAAAATCCTGAAGAAGCTAAGATCTCTCCATCCCTTGTTCCCAGTCTCGAGTCACGTCCATTCCTTGATGTGATTCATGCTACACGGATTGCTGTATTTGGATGGATCAAGACCAACTTTAATTTCTAATCCAAGGGTAGAGAGGAGCAGTGAAGGGGGCCTTCCATGTAGAAGGTGGGGCTGGGAGACCATGAAAGGAAGAATGAATGTATATCCAAGTCACTCAGGAACTTTTATGCAGGTGCAAGAAACTTATGTCAAAGTAGCCACAAGATTGTTTAATAGCAGACGGACGAATGTAACTCCATGTTTACTGCTAGAAACCAAAGCTTTGTATGAAATCTTGAATTGATGGGGAGGGAGGGAGGGTAGAAAAGCATGTACCCATATGTTCTTTTCCTCATTCCTGAACGGCAGGAGACAGAGCCCCTTGGGCTTTGGTGACCCCATCTGGGCAGTGTTTATTTGATGGCTGATTTTTCTGTGCCAGGTACTTCCTTTCCCATTTGCTATCATTTTGTAACACACACGCTGACCCTTTTCCCTTCCCTTTCTTTTCCTTGGGAATATACAATAAATAAAAACTTATTGGTACTGAAAAAAAAAAAAAAAGACTGAGAAGCTGGGACTACTACTGGGCTTAGAGTGAGAAGATGCACACAGGCCTTCTATCCAGCACTTACCAGTACTTTTCTATCTGCTAACCATGATTTTCAGCCACATCAAGCCATTGCTACATAGTATGAGGATCTGATACTAAGTAGGGTGAGGTGCTGGGGTTGGCTGTTGCTCAGTGGCCAGATCAAAGCTGCCCTTCAGGAATGCTGGGTTTTGAGGTGGCTGAGTTATGAATAAATGAATAAATTGAACTATGCTGTATGGAGTGAGCATGGGGTGGGGTGGTCCTTACCCACGAGATGTAATAGCTGGAAGGCGGTGAGCCAGGCCTCTGGGATGGCTGCAGCCTGGCACATGGTCAGTCCTGCCGGGATGGGCATGAGGAGCTCTGCAGGGACAGTGACATACTGAGCCTGGCCCCCGCCAGACAGAAGAACCATGGCTGGGTCCCCGACCTTCCAGGGTCCCTGGTAGCCAGCTCCCAGCTCTGCCACGTGTCCAGATGCCTCGAGTCCCAAAATGTTGCTGGCTCCTGGAGGTGGGGCATACTGGCCTTGTCTCTGCAGAAAGAGGACACACTAGGTAGTAAGCATGATCAGAAATCTGTGTCAGCATCCCTGGCTTTCTTCCCATAGCTCCTCTCCTCCCCCTTTAAGACAAAATTCAGGGTAAAATTAGGTTTTTTAAGTAAAGAAAAAAGAGAGGGGAGGTAATTTGTTTCATACAAGTAAGAGACTATAGGTCCCATAATCAGTGGATATGTAACTTGTGGTGTCACTTCCACCCCTTGTATCATCTAAACCCTTTGTTTTACAAATGAAGAAACTGAGGCCTAGTTAGGGGAACCAGGGTAGCAAAATAATAGCAAGACTAGTTACTAAACCACGGGCTTCCTAATGATATATCTCATATATCAAGTGCCAGGCTCTGTACTCACGCCTCACAATCGCCAGAGGGACTGAACTAGGAGTGTGCCTCAGAACAATTTGAGATCCTTTTGCAGAGTATACATGCCTGGATCCCCGCCCTATTTATTTTGAGTAAGTGCCCCTGTGATTCTGGTGTACATTTCTTAATCACTTCAAAAAATGCAGGTGACCCAGTTTAGTGCTTCTAGAAGAAGTTGGAAGAAAGTTCTTAAGAGCACTGCCCCCTGCCAGCTCTGGAACCCTCAGAGTGGAAAGAATACAGACTCAGGTGCCTTAAGACAAAGACCTCAATCTGAATCACTGCTCCCCTGGTTACTAGTGTGTGGCTTTGGGCTCACTGCTGAACCTCTCTGACTCTCAGTTTCTTTATCTGTAGAGTACAAATGGTGAACAGGATTGCCTGAGGAGCGGTTAGGAGTCCTGATTTTCACCCAGGCGGCCCAGGTTTGACTCCTGGTGTAAGGATGCCAGCCTTTGAGGCGGGGCTTCCCTAGTGGCTCAGATGGTAGAGAATCCACCTGCAATGTAAGAGACCTAGGTTCTGAAAGGTTGTTGCTGAACCAGGAAAGACGCCAGGATTCTTGGCCTCCGGAAGAGAGGAATTCAATCCAGGGCCAGTAACGAGGCTTGATCGCGCAGAGCTTTTGTGTAATAAAGTTGTATTAAAGTATAGAAGAGATAGAGAAAGCTTCTGACATAGACATCAGAAGGGGGCGAGAAGAGTGCCCCCTGCTAGTCTTTAGCCGGATGTTATACAGTTACTAGCAAGCTGTTAATTATAGAAAGGAGATGTCTCAAAACTCAGCCCCAAGGCCCTCACCCACAACATGCATTTTGAGATAACACTGGCACCAGGTGAGTCATCCCGGGCCATAAAACCATTGACATGAACCTTGAAGAAGGGCAGGTTTCCAAGTAAATATATGGTTTCATTAACATAGATTAAGAGTAAAATATGCAGGTTTGTCAAGTCAGTTCCGAGTCTTAGGCAAAACCGACTTGAAGAAAGACAAAGTCGAGGATATAGTTCATTAACATAGCTTAAGACAAACATTTCCAAAAGAAAAATGCTTTGGTTAGCTCAAGGTTTGAGAAAAGTTCAGGTGGAACCAGGTTTCATTATGGCAACACAGAATTTTAAGAGAAACCTCTTTAAATTTGTATAGAGAAGGGAAAAATCTAACACTCCTGCCACTTAAGAGAGAGATAAAAAACGTCTGACACTTGAAGCCTATTTCCTCCTTTTGGAGACCCCTGGCCTTCCTGCCTGTTATCCTCTCAGTTCAATCCCCGGTCAGAAAGATCCCCTGGAGAAGGGAAGGGCAACCCACTCCAGTATTTTTGCCTGAAGAATCCAGTGGACAGAGGAGGCTGGTGGGCTACAGTCCATAGGGTTGCAGAGAGTCAGACAAGACTGAGCTGACGCTTGGACTTTTTCACTTTCAAAGGAGATACAGGGAGGTCTAACACCCACCCCGCCAAGAAATGTGGAAGCCTGAGCAGACAGACAGTGGAGCGACACAGGGTGGCCTGTGCTGTGCACATACCCCTTTACTTTGTGTAAAACATGGGAGGCTAAATGGTTCTAGTTTCAGAACCCGGAGGAAGCAGGTCATGATGAGTGTTAATGGCAGTGCCTAAAGTCTCCATCTGTCTGGTGAATGCTTATTAAAGGCTGCGTTGCCCTGCTCAGTCCCAGCTGCTGCCAGACCCCTGGGTACCTGGAGTAAGTCCGCCCTGTTCAGGGCGCTGGCTGCCACCTTCAGTAGGACTTCACCCTCGCCTGGGCTGGGCTTGGCCACTTCCTTCAAGTAAAGATTTTCTGGTCCTCCCGGCTTGTCAAAGTGCACAGCTATCATGATCTCTGAGGACACACAGGGTACAGCAAACTTCTTTGAGGGGCCCAGTGCCCCACTGCCGGCCAGCGGCCTTCCTCAATCCGTTTGGCTGCCGGCCCCTGCTCTCCTTGCAGCGAGGCCCCTGCCGCCTCCAGGCCAACCCCGCGCGGAAGGCGCAGGCTGGGGTGCAGGGACGCTGGCCGCACCGACTGGCTGCGTGCGGAACAGGCAAACACTGAAGAGCATGAGGCAATTTTCACTCCCTCTGCGTTCGAATCTCCCACCTGTGTGGATCGCTGGAGCCGGTGTGAGCTCCTTGCTGGCTCCAGGCCCGGCCTCTCCTGCTGTTGCCGCTGCTCCAGGTGACGGGGCGGTCCTCGCCGCCCGGCGGGTCCTAGGAGCGGGACCGCTGCACTCTGGGTAGTGCAGGGGGTGGGGTTGGCCGGAATCAACCCTCCCCTTCTTCCTTCTCCCTTGAAAATGCAAAGCTGGTGGCGGCAAATCAGATTTTTGTGAGTTTTGAGCCTCTGGAATCTAGTCCTTCCCTTGGTTTAGCGTGAAATGCTGTTAGGCACTCAACTTTGAGAATCCTTCCCTCTCTCTAAGGAAACTAGAACCGGAACTCTTGGCGGACCACCGGTCCGTTTCCCAGCCTGGCAGGCTTTTGGCTGGTTTGTGCTGTCAGTCTCTTTCTGCCCTTGGTCTCTGGAGTAAGGTGGGCAAGCAGGGTGCTTCTGAGAAAAAAAGAGAGGAGCGCTGGGGGAAAAGGGAGGATAAAAGCAGTCCTGGGATTCTTTAAACTTCTGTGGTTTCTCCTGTCTTTCCTGAGGATGAGGGAGTGGCCCTTGGAAGAGGCTGCCCAGTGAGAAAATTTAGCCTGGTTAAATAAAAGCCGTATAAATGCTTATTACACCAAGGTCTCTCAACCTCGCCACAATTGACATTTTTGGATTAAATAATTTTTTGTTTGGAAAGACTTCCCAGTGCAGCGTGGGGTGTTTAGCAGCACCCCTGGTCTCCACCCATTAGATACCAACAGCACCCTTCTACAGTTGTGACAATAAAAAAAAGTCTTGACATTGCCAGATATCCCTAGGGAGCAAAAAAAACCCACCTGCTTCTGGTTACAAGCCACTGGATTAGAAGAATACACATGTATGTGCACCTGCATAAAAAGGTAACTTTTTTTTTGCAGTGTCTTATAATTTGCCTCTTCACATGTGTTCTCTTGAGTTTTTTTCTTTTTTTTTTTTTTTGAGTTTTATGACACTTCACTAAAAAGGAATTGAGATGTATCAACAGAACGATTAATTTGGTTTCAAGGGGCACATAGCTGATGAGTGTCAGAGCCAGAAATCAAACTCTGTCTCTCCTGGTCCTGCCCAAGGATCTAGAGTAGAAGGAAAGACTGCCTGGGGCACCCATCTGTCCCTTCAATTACAAACTCCCTTTCTCTTTATTTACATCCCTCTCCTGATATCCCTCTCTTGTAAGAAGGCTACCCAAATTACATATTTTTATAAGGCCTGTTTTCTAGAAACGCCTGTCAGCTACTGTCCCTCCTCTTGTCATCTGTGTCAAAACTATTGCAAGAAAAGGGACAGAAGCAGCCCAACAATGTATTCAGAGGGAAGGTCCAGCCTTTTCTGGAAACTTTGTGGTGGGTATTTTTTGCTACTTTTTTTTGGGTAGGCTCTAGTGTCTCAGAGGGACCATGTCCCAGGGAGGGCAGGAACTTATACTGCTGACCCCCTGATAATTAAAGAATAAGACCCAGGGGACTTCCCTGGAGGTCCAGTGGTTAGGACTCAAAGCTTCCATCGCTTGTGGCATGGACTCCACCCCTGATTGGGGAACTAAGATCCCACAAGCCACACAGAGCAACAGGCCTTATGAAAATACGTAATTGTGCCTCTCTGAGGACACTAACCTCCCAAAGGGTCAACAGAGAGCTCTGCTGGAAACTACAAAAACAGGTTGATTTCCTTAAAACATCCTTGCTCCAGCCCCTTTTTGTCAAAATATAAGTTGTGGAATTGGGTGGTAAATTTTAGATGACTGGTTGCTGCAGCAGTATTCCACAGTCCACGTCTCTGGCCTTAGAGGAACTCCCCCACAGGTTCATGTTTTAGCAGAACAAGCAAGATCTGTGTTAGGAATGAGGTGGAAGCATGTGTCCCAGAAACCCAGCTGATGTAAGGGTACAGCTGCTGCTGCTTATCCTGAAAGTTAAATGGGGGTGAGGGCATAATCTCTCTCAGATGTCCTCTGAAGGGTTCTGCATAAACCAGCAGCTTCTGTGGTAACCACAGTCAAGCTTGGGCAGCCCAGCAGCTTAGTGATGACAACTGGTCCTTGCCTAGAGGAACTGGGGCAGTTCACCTCTGGGTACTATGCCAGCTTCTGTGCCTGTAGGACTTTGGGCTCTTCCTCCCGTCTTTCCATGGGCGCTCCACCCAGAGGTTGGAGGGCAAATCTCAGGAGCAAAGGCTCAGGAAGGCTCTAGGAAAGGAAAGAGCTTGGAGTCAGCTTGGTGGGGCTGCTTATTTAGTTACCTGCCTCTGCCATTTTCCTGGGGACCCATCCGTATGACTCAGGGCCCAAGACAGTCCTTAACTCCAGGCAGTGGTCTTCATCAGTAGACAAAAAGCATTTTTAAAAGCTGCGTTCCTCATATTTTAAAGTTGATAACTAAAATTTTTCATCTTACATTTAAGGTAGTACAAAAGACATGATTTCTGGTCATAAATACTGACATTTAAAACTCATATCAGGCTTTTAAATGTATCAAGTGGAGTTGGATTTTAGAGCAGTTTGATACTATAATCATCCACTAAAAAGTACCCAAACAAGTTCTTTAACAGTTGGAAGTTTTAAAATTTCATTTTTTCCCAATACTTATATTTTCATTCTACATAAAAATTACATCCTAAAAAAAAATTACATCCTGCTATGTTTTATGCTTTATTGATCATTCTTATCTGCAAGAAAATATATGTAACCTGACATTAGCTTAAAAATTTTCTGTGATTGTAGGGCTATAAAGTGTTAAATTTCTTCTGGGTTTACTTATTATTACAGTATTATTAGTTCACAGCTGATAAAAACATTATTTTGAATTATTTTATGTTATTTAAAGAATTATTTTAGGGGAAGTCCCTTTCAGGCCAGTGGTTAGGACTCTCTGCTCTCACTGCTTAGGTTCCAGGTTCTATCCCTGGTCAGGGAACTAAAATCCCACGGGCTGCATGGCATGGCCAAAGTAAAAGTATTATTTTGAATGTTAATAATTATTGAATATAAAATTTTTATTGGACCATTGGTGGGGTTGAATTTTTCCAAATAATTATGTCATCTTTGGATGAATATTAATAATTGCTTAAATGAGACTAGTCTCAGCATTAATCTTTTTCATTGTTATGGACAAGCTCTGAGAAACCGAATTTGCATAAATTAGAAGGGAGAGAAATTTCTTTATAGGAATGTCAGCCAATTATTTGAATACCTCTGAGTTATATGATTAAAAACCATATAAGGATTTATCATCCGAGATTATTTTCAGTGATCTATTAGCTGGTAACTTAATTAAGTCTTCCTTCAATTTTGTTGAAAGCAAAGATTTGGAAACCATTCAACCTGTAAGGGATTAGTTACCCAGTCCTATGTGTCGTTCTCAGCTTCTGGGATTATTGCCAACAAAGCTTTGCAAAGATTTATCAAATGATTATTATTTCTGCTTCTGTTTCTTAGAGGCCCCTTGTTTATATATATTCAGGAGGATGTGGAAAGTAAAAGTGTTAATTCTAATACACTTTTTTGCTAAGACAATTCTTTGGACCAAATCCTCTTAAATATGTATTTGGTGGGGAGGGATGAACTGGTAGATTGGGGTTGACATATACACAGTACTATATATAAAATAGAAAACTAATAAGAATCTACTGTATAGCACAGGGAACTCTACTCGATACTCTGTAATCATCTAGTAGAAGAATCTAAAAAAGAGTGGCTATATGTATATGTGTAACTGATTTACTTTGCTGTAGAGCAGAAACTAATGGAGCATTGTAAATCAACTATACTCCAATATAGATTTAAAAAATAAATATATTTTAATTGACATCTTGGCATTGTAAACTTAACCCATTTATCAACAACATCTGTGACATTCTTATTGGCAAAGCCAGCCACCATTGTTAAACTAATCAGCCAACTCATATTTCTATCAGAAAAGGTTTCTCATTTTTCAAGTAATCATGTTATTTCATGTCTTTATGATAACTGTCTTCTGAATTTTAAGAAACGTGGATAAGATGAGGAGTCTCTCTCTCCTGGATGAATTATGATAGAAAGATTTTCACTATTTCTCAATGATGCTCTTTTTGATTTATTCTCATGGGACTCTTTTTCACATATGATGTATTTTTTACAATACAGGATGGAAGAGCTCATTAAGTTTAAAAATAATTGAGAATTTTCCTTTCCTTTGGCACCTTGCAGTTCTTACACTCCGAGCCAAGTATTACAGCAGGACTGGGGCTGAATGAGAGTAGGCCTTTCTTTTGCATCCTGGAACTGGCATTACTGCTCAATCACAACAGGTAAATTTTAGGAAAGTACATATGGAAGTTGGGGACCTGGGGAAAAAAAATGAATCCCTTGAGTACATTCATGCCTGTATGTACCATTTCAAGTCTTTGTGAACTATTAGGACAAAAATTTGCCTTGATCGGAGACCCCTGTTTTAGAATATCACCTGCTTCCTGGGCACCTCCACAGGGTGCTGCCATCAAAGGGTCCCTTTTGTGGGTCTGAGTAGATGAGCCAGATCGGAACTTTGTGGTAAGAATTGTAGGAAGCAACTAGACCGTGCTACATAGGAGGACTCTAGACAGTGAGGCATTTGCTTTGATGAAGTTTATGAAATAGCCTCCCACTCGGCACCCAGCAGTGCCGTGTGCATGTGCAGCACACAGCAGCAGTGCAGTGTGTGTGTGTGTGGCACAGCAGCAGTGCAGTGTGTGTGTGTGTCTGGGAAATGTGAACGGCCAAGAGCCTTCATGATAGCTTCAGTATTTTAGAGATCATTGTGATCCAAGATCAGACCTGCCTTGCAGGCTCAAAACCTCAGTTTGTCAGCATGTGGAGAATGGGTGTACAGTTCACATTACTAAGTTATAAAGCTCAGATGTCAGTGTTCTAATTTAAAAGGAGAAATCATTGGCATGAGGTCTGACCCCCAAATCTCTAGATAGATCTACATGGAAAGCCAAATGGTGAGCAAAGATTCTGGACAAGATGGGATGATTGAGATGAACTGAATGTTTAATACTTAATCTGGCTAAGATAGTAAGATATATCCACCTTTTTACTCAATACAACCTTGCCATTAAGACCAGAAGTGATATAATAAATATTTTTAGCTTTCGTCCCTGGTCCCCCAACCGCTGATCTCTGGAGAGGGGAGAGGGACTGGAGATTAATTCAGTCATTCTTGCATTCTTGGCATATCCAACAATATGTATGGGAATACAAGAGACTCATAGAGGAGTCTTCCAACAGATATGCTCTGTGAAACTACCAGTGTCACATTCATGCCAATGAAAAAAAAGTGGATTAAATAATTCCAATTAAAGAAGAGAATCTCTTGAAATGAGAAAAATTGCTTCCTTAATTCATTCTTCCTTTTCAGTATCTTCTGCCTAGGGTTTTTAAACCACAAAATAAGGCATTTATTTCTTTAGGATCTATCATTTTCTTCTAAAATCATAAAAGCCATCTTTCATAGTCCTTTGATGACTTAATTCCCTTTTCTTCTTAGATAGTCTCCTGAAAGAAAACAATATGGTTATTATTTGACCATATTATTTACTGATGAACAGTAAATAGTAACAACATGATTCATTCACAATAATAACAATATGATTCATTCATTTATTCCATAAAAATTTGTGAGTGACTACCATATACTAGGCACTGTGTTAAGTACTTGGAGATACAAGGATGACTGGATAGTTAAGACCCAGTCCCTGACTTCATGGAGTTCATTGTCTGTTTGGGGAGACAATGTCTATTGTCTATTATATGTTCCTAGAATCTTCCACAATAAAAATTTTATTTCCCAAAATTTCTATAGTTATGCATAATTTCTGATAGAGAAAAATACAATTAAAACTCTCATAGATACATCTCATAGCTATAATTTCCGATTTCTACATTAGATCTTTATTTGTAAATGTAGACACGGAAGGGGAATCCACTAGACACCAAGAAGCCAGCTGCCTGGCTCACAGTGATTTCTTTTTCTGTAGAAGGCTCTTTTATAGAGGATGGCCCCCAGCAGCTACATCTCTGCTTTTTTAGCTTGCCCTCCCCACCTCCTATCCCCAGCTGACTGATATAAGGGTAATGAATATGATCTGAGATTTGTCAGATCAGGGTTCTAAAAGAAACTAAGAGGATGCAAGGCTTGACCATGACGCCATGAGGAAAGGAGGCAGTTTGCAAAGGGAGGTAACAAAGCTGACGCTCTTAGGAGGAAAGACTGGAAGAGGATCATTGTTCAAGTCCCTGGAGTCCATTTTTCCTGTGACTCAGCTGGTTTGACTGCATTACTTGCAGTCAGAAGACTTTACTACCACAGCAAAGAAAGCCAGGCATTGGGAACAAACTTACCCAACTTCTCTGCGGCTTCCACACAGACACTGGGATACATGCCTTCAGAGTAAGTTGCCACCAGAAGATACAGATGGGTCTTCACAACAATCACACCAGTGTTTTCCTGGATAAAAATAAAACAGAATTCTCTCCTCTTGATTTTAACAACAGGACTAGCAGTTACCCTCCAGCCACACTTTTCACCATTTCCTGACTCATTCACGTTTGTTTTTGGATGATCTTACTTTTTTCACTAGTTTAGTTGTGTTTCCTTAAAAAGTTTCAGACTATTGTAATAACAGCATATGTATTCTGAAAAAGCTCTCAAATTGGTTGTAGTATTTCCCTGTCCTGATGAGAACAACAGATGTCATGGAAAGGAAATATATTTTGGAATTAGATCACTCTGGGCTTGAATCCCAGCACCTCCATTTTCTGCTATCACTGTGGAAGAGTTATTGAACCTTCTTAAGCCTCAGTTTCCTCATCTGTAAATGAGGTTACTTAGTGTATAATGTGGGTGAAGTGTGCCTAAGCCATAATACAGGGCAACCAGAAATACGACCATCATCCCCTTGTTACAGGCAACATCGAACCAACAGTTGTTTTAAGCACAAGAGTAATAACCACTTCTTTAAAAGAAGGATAATATCGAGTATGAGAGATGAACTGCAGTGGAGAGAGACAGTTGAGGCAATATTCAGTTGATAAAATACAGAATGAATGGTTCTCAAAACCAGGCTCTGTTAGTACTTTCCTTAACATATGCCTTCATGGCACTAGACTGCTGCTATCTCAGATACTGCCACTGCAGTAACAGGCTTAGTCTGTTTTAAAGATAGGATCAGGAGAGGCATAGAAAACTTGGAGTGAAACTCAGAAGTTTTTACCAGTTGTCTTCATGTCTTGAACACTCACATTCTTGGCATAAAGAGAATAGTCATCTGCCCGGACACATTTGTAGTCCTTCTCCTTGAAATACAATCCTTCTCTTCTGGTTTTCAAAGGGTTCTTGGCAAACCCATTTACGAGTGTTCGGACATCACTGGGCATTACCTACAGAGGTTAAACAGACTAGAAATAGGCAAACGATGGGGAAGTGGCCAAATTTGCCCCACTACCAGTTTTCTTAGGCCTATGAGCTAACAATGGTTTTTACATTTTTAAAAAGTTGAAAAAAATAAAAATATTTTGCAATATGTAAAAACTACATGAAATTCAGATTTCAGTGTTCATAAAGTTTTATTGGAATGTTATCACTCCCTTTCCTTTATGTATTATCTATGGCCTTTTTACAGAAAAAGACTTAAACTCTTACGCCAAACTTGTTTTTTTCTTACACTAAATCCTGGTGATGCTACACATAGGCTTCGCTCCTGGAGTTTGATGAGGGCTGCACTGTCCACATGCTTTGTTCCCAGGAGTGTATCTAACAGTAAGTTCTGCAAATGGCTCATGCTCCCTCAGTTCTGAAAAAAAGGGAACTGCAGTTGAAATCATCTGCTCTAACTAGCTTTTAAAAGATGTCCCCGAGACATTCAGAACAGCTTTAATATCAACAGCTTTAACTGAAAAGGTGCAGAGTGAAAATGGTGGTCCACCATCCGGTGCCCACCAATACTAAAAAGAGGAAAACAGAATCACAGAAAATCAGTTCACACAGAGGGTTTTGAGTTTGGAAATTTACAGCTTATAATTTTTTCTATGTTTTTTGTTTTGTTTATGTTTTGTTATATTTATGTTTTGTTTTCTATGGTTTGTTTCAGAATCACGTAGGATTAAAACAAACTAGAAACCTGACTAAATGGAGAACTACTGAAGTAAACAAGACTAAATGAGATATGCCAGTCATTCAGTCCTCACGTTCTTTTCCCTCTGACCAGCATCAGCACCATGGACACTGGTCAATACCTCAGGCTAAAAACACTTGGTGGCTCAAACATAAAAGAATCCACCTGCAATGCGGGAGACATGGGTTCAATTCCTGGGTTGGGAAGATCCCCTGGAGGAGGGCATGGCAACCCACTCCGGTAATTCTTGCCTGGAGAATCCCCATGAACAGAGAAGCCTGGCGGGCTACAGTCCATGGGGTCGCGAAGAGTTGGACACGACTGGGCGACCAAGCACAGCCCACAAAAACACCTTTCGGAACCTAGGGCGACATTTTTCCTACAAGTTTCCAAGTCGTCTTGGACGGTCCTCATAGGGGACAAGTTCTGCAAACACTCCTCCTTCCAGGAGATCCTAAGGGCAGGCGCCCCTAGCCCGCCACTCCCATCGTGGTGATTTGGCCCTCGAGAGTTCCCCGGAGCGGAGTTACTGAGGGAGAGAGAGGGGGTTTAAATCCGGTCTGGTTGTCTGGGGGCGGGGTGGGGGGGGGGAAGACGCATAGGAGGCACTGAGGGCTTGGGGAATCGCGGCGGCGACAGACCTACTAAAGCCAGCAGCCTCGGAAATGAGCCCAGCGCTCGACCGAGGCTTGGCTTGAGGCGCAGACGGCCGTCAACGGACGCAGGGGAAGGCGGGGCGAGAGGACGACGAGCCCAGCTACTGGCTGTGGCGGCTGCCCATCACCGAGAAGCTCTCTAGCTTCGCCCGCAAAGCAGGACCTACCGGCGGGCGCGGGCGCTACTGTTGACCAGGTTCCCTCTCAGCCTGACGCGGCCGCGGGAACGCACTTGTGCGCGGCTCAGGGACGCAGGGGTCGCCGCGTCGGAGGTGTTGTGGGGCGGGGGGAGGGGGGGCAGTTCCAATCGAATCACGACGCAGAACGTTCTCGTCTACCAAGGCGACGGCCTCGAGCTGGTTGGGCCGCAGGTGCGGCGAGCTCTCCCGGCTAAGCCGACCGCTCTGGCACTGTAGGCTGTCGGGTCTGGCTCTCGCGTGATGCAGAGGAGCCGAAGGCTCTGCCAGTTTTGAGGGGAGCTGTCAGTTTTGAGGTACCAGTGGCGGCCATTCAACTTTTATGCCGCGGAGGCCGCTCGCACCTTGCTCGCCCGGTAGGGGTGAAGGGGCGGGGTCGTGCGTGTTGTAGGTTCTACCAGGGATACAGGCTTCTTATGACAGCTTCTCCGGCACCGGCGGGCGCGGGAGGCTCGGAGGGGAGCAGTTTGAGCCAGCAAATTTTGTTCAAAAGCCCTTCCTTCCTTCTCTAAGAGGCCTATCCTGTGTGTGTGCTTCAGGAGCCAGAAAGCTGCCGCTTTCCCGTTCCGAAAGCTGCGGTTTCGGAAAGCTGCACACGCGCCTCCTTGAGGCCAGGTTGAGAATTGCTGCACCGGCTCGATTGAGCAATGTTGTGGGAAGCCTGGCTTCTCATGGGGCTCCGCTGGTCGGTCCAGAAGGAGCTCTGCTTAAAGAAGGCAGACTCGGAAGACATCAGCAGAAGCTTGTGGACAGACTCTGAAAAAAGGGAACTGCAGTTGGAGTAATCTTCTCTGGCTAGCTTTTAAAAGGCCTGTGAATACAAATGTCCCCCTCTCACTTTAGGAAAAACATGATGTCTAATGTTCAGAATCTGTTTCATGTCTATCTATGGTCACAAATATTAATTAGAAAATACACGTGAATGCTCGCTACTAAGGAAGCTTATTTTTTAGTTTTTCTAGGGAATCTGTTATTTGTTACCACAATGAAAAGTTATGAGAATGATCTGATAACTGACAAGCTTCCCAAGCTCAAGAGCTCAAGAGAATGGTTGGAGCCACAGCCACTTTCTTTTATGGAGGTATCATAGTAATGGCATTTTAAAGTTTATATTTGGGTAGTTGCATTGAAAAGTGGCTTGTGCTAAATACATTATTTTTCTGTTTTCTGTTTCATTCTGCTCTTTATTATCCCCTTCTTTCTATTAACTATTTTCTCTGCTCTTCATTTTCCAATTTCTTAAGGTGGAATAATGTCACTGGTTACATACCTTTTTAATAAAGTTACAACGTTTCTCCTGAAGCATTACTTTAGCTACATCACCCAAATTTATTTATGTCGTGGGGTTTTTTTGTTTAGATTATTTCTTTTTTTTCTACACAGCTTTATTAAGATATACTTGATATATAATGAATTGCATATATTTAAAGTGTACAATTTGGTAAAATTTGAGCTATGTATTCATGCATGAAACCATCACCACAGTCAAGACAGCAAACATATTCAGTACTCCCAAAGTGTCTTCATTGTGTCCCTTTTTAAGCGCCCCCCCCTCCACTTTCTATCACTTTAGTTTATTTTGCATTTAAATTTTTTGTACAAATGTGATCTTAAGGTATGTATTATTTTTGTGTGGCTCAGTATAATTTGTGATTCTTCCATGTTGTTTCATGTATCAGTACTTCATTCTTTTTAGTTACTGTTGAATGCTATATACTCTAGTTTGTACATCCTGTTGTTGCATATTTGGATTAACAGTTTTTGGCTATTACAAGTAAAGCTGTTAGAAACATTCACATACATATGTAGGGACATGTGTTTCATTACTCGGGTAAATATCTAGTTGTGGAATGCCTAGGTCATATGTTAAATGAAATTTAACATTTTATGAAACTGCCAAACTGTTTTCCAAAGTTATTTTATATTTCCACTAGCAGTGTATGGGAGTTCCAGTGTTTTACAGCCTAGCCAGCATTTGGTTACAGTCTTTGTGTGTGTGTGTAGTCTTTAATTTGAGACGTTCTAAGCAGTTCCATTCCTTAGGTCATACAGTAATTTTGTGTTTAACTTTTTGAGGAATTGCCTGCTTCCCACAGTGACTGTACTATTTTACATTCTCATCAGCAACACATGAAGGTTACAATTTCTCTATTGTTTAGAGTTCACTGAACCTCTGGTATCAGTGGGCAAATAGTTCCCAACACATTTGGAAAACTCTCAGCCATTCCTTCTTCAAATAGTTTTCTATCCCACCTCTCTCCTTTCGGGAAATAAAATTACACTTTTAATCACCTGCTTGAAAGCTATCTCATCTATCCCATAGCCCACTGATTACCTGTTAATTTTTTTCAGACTTTTCCTTCCTGCGTTTCTTTTTGGACAGCTTTTGTTCTTATGATTTTGTTTACTAATCTTTTCTTTTGGAATATCCAGTCTTCTTTTAAGCTTGTCTGTGTATTTTTCATTTCAGACACTGTAGTTTTCATCCTTAAAGTTTTTAGGAGGTCTTTTAAAAACTCTTCACCATCTCAGAATGTCTGCTGTTTCTTCTAGTTTCCTAAACTTGGTTCAGGTCAGTCACTCAGTCATGTTCAACTCTTTACGACCCCGTGGACTGCAGCAGCCCAGGCCTCCCTGTCCATCACCAACTCCCAGAGCTTGCTCAAACTCATGTCCATCGACTCGGTAATGCCATCCAACCATCTCATCCTCTGTTGTCCCCTTCTCCTCCTGCCTTCAATCTCTCCCAGCATCAGGGTCTTTTCAAATGAGTCAGTTCTTTGCATCAAGTGGCCAAGTATTGGAGCTTCAGCTTCAGCATCAGTCCCTCCAGTGAATATTCAGGACTGATTTCCTTTAGGATGGACTGGTTTGATCTCCTTGCAGTCCACNCAGTTCAAAAGCATCAATTCTTCGGAGCTCAGATTTCTTTATAGTCCAGCTCTCACATCCATACATAACTACTGGAAAAAGCATAGCTTTGACTAAACAGACCTTTGTCGGTAAAGTAATGTCTTTGCTTTTTAATATGCTGTCTAGGTTTGTCATAGCTTTTCTTCTAGAGAGCAAGGGTCTTTTAATTTTGTGGCTGCAGTCATCATCTGCAGCGATTTTGGAGCCCAAGAAGATAAAGTCTGTTTCTGTTTCCATTGTTTCCCCATCTATTTGCCATGAAGTGATGGGACTGGATGCCACGATCTTCGTTTTTTGAATGTTGAGTTTTTTTTTTAAACAACTGATTATCGATTTATTAAAAAGGTTGATTTAGGCATCGGCAATGGTGACTTCCACCTCGACTCCTGGCTCAATACTGATGGAAGTGATCTGCTTGACGGTTTCAGAAAGGCTGTGCAGGTCAATGAGTCGCTTGTGGATCCTCATTTGGAATCGATCCCAAGTCTTAGAACCTTCACCACAAGGAGTTTTCCTTGTAGTTATTCTCAGAGTCTTGGTAGGCATCTGGACTGGTCCTTTCACTTTGAGATTCTTTTCCTTCGAGCCTCTGATCAGGTCAGCACACACCTTCTCCAGAGACTTCACGTTGCAGCTGGTGAGGGTGGTCCTAATCCGGTGAATGGCCACCTCTGGCTCCATGGGAGTCTTGCCGGTGTCTTTAAAGGCCATGGCTGCGGCGCGGCTTCCTGACCGACTTGTTCCTCGGCAAGAGCGAACAGCGGTGAGTCCACAAGAGTGGGCGGCACTGAGCTCCAATGCAGTGGCGACTGCGTCTTCCTCAAAGAGTGAATGTTGAGTTTTAAGCCACCTTTTCCACTCTCCTCTTTCACTTTAATCAAGAGGCTCTTTAGTTCTTCACTTTCTGCCATAAGGGTGGTATCATCTGCATATCTGAGGTTATTGATATTTCTTCCTGCAATCTTGATTCCAGCTTGTGCTTCATCCAGTTGGGCATTTCGCATGATGTACTCTGCATATAAGTTAAATAAGTAAGGTGACAGTATATAGTCTTGAAGTACTCCTTTCCTGGTTTGAAACCAGTTGGTTCCAATTTGGAGCCAACCTTTTCCAATTTTGAACTTATGAACTATTTTAATGTCTTGGTCTAATAATTATATTATCTGTGTCATTTCTGAGGTTTTTATTTTTATTTATTTAAAAAAATTTTTATTTTATTTATTTTAAAAGTTTTATTAACTTATTTATTTTTGGCTTCCCTGAGTCCTTGTTGCTCTACCGGGGCTTTTTCTAGTTGCAGCAGGTGGAGACTATTTTTCAGTTGTGGTGCATGGGTTTCTTATTGTGGTGGCTTCTCTTGTTGCAGAGCATGGGCTCTATGGCCTGTGGGCTTTAGTAGTTGTGGCCTACAGGCTTAGTTGCCCTGCAGCAGTGGAACGTTTCCAGACCAGGGATCAAACTTGTGTCCCCTGCATTGCAAGACAGACTCTCAACCACTGGGCCACCGGGGAAGCCCTCTGGGGTAGTTTTGATTGATTCTTCTTTTCATTATTAGTCAAATTTTCCTGCTTCTTTGTATGCTTGGTGATTTTTTAAATTGGATACCAGGCATTGTGAATTTTTTCTTGTTGAGTGCTGGATATTTTTTATTTTCAATAAAAGCTCTTAGCTTTGTTCTGGGATGCAGTTAAGTTACTCAGACACAGACTTTTTTTAAATGTCTTGCCGCCAAGCTTTGTTAGGTAGAACTCTATTGGCACTTAGTGTGTGGCTAGTTTTGCTGTAGTAAGAGTAAAACTACTCGTGAGTTTTTAACTCTATGCTTTGCATACCGTAAAGTTTTTCACTCTGGCTGATTGTTAAGAGGAATAACTCCTGGGGTCTGTGACCTCTAGGGATTGTTTCCCTAATCCTTTCAGGTACTTCTTTGCACAGTGTTTCTTTGAGTAGTTTCCCCATATGCATACAGTGGTCAGGGCTTCCCTGGTGGCTCAGAAGGTAAAGAATTCACCTGCAATGTGGGAGACCTGGGTTTGGTCCCTGGTCTGGGAAGATCCCCTGGAGGAGGGCATGGCAACCCACTACAGTCTTCTTGCCTGGAGAATCCCATGGACAGAGGAACCTGGGGGGGCTACAGTCCATGAGGTCTCAAAGAGTCAGACACGACTGAGCGACTTAAGCACAGCACAGCATACAGTGTTCAGCATTCACCTGAAGTCTCAAGGGGGACATTCTACAGATCTAATCATCTGCAGATCCCCAAAACTCTTTCTCTCTGTGACTTTCTTTCCTCTGGTACTGTGCTCTATGAACTGTAGCTACTCTGGCCTTTCCAGACTCCCAAACGCCCTTCCTCATTTCAGTAATTTCCTCCTTTCTGCACCACAGTCTGGAAATTCTCTCCAGGCACTAATGAGCTAGTTTAGGATTTACCTTGTTTTATGTATCTCAGGGGCCACTGTCCTTCATAGCCTGATATCCAGTGTCTCTCACTATATTTTTTTAAGGTAAGAGGGTAAATCTGTTCCCTACTATCCTGTCTGAAAGTAGTGGTTTTCATCCAGCCATTACTTATTTAGAATTCCAGTTATCAACTTGTCCAACCTTTTGCTGTTGTTTCATAACTCACTGCAACTTTATTCATTTTCCAGTCTTATTTCTGTTTTTCAGACTGGATAAATTCTAATGATTTGAATTCAAGTTCACTGACTCTTTTAAAGTCATATTCAATCTGCTATTAAGCCATTTAAGTTTTTTTGTTTTTAATTTAAGAACTATATTTTTCACTCGTGTATTTTTCATTCTTTTTCTGCTGACATTTTCCTATTCATTCTGAGCATATTTTCCTTTAACTTCTTAAACATAGCTATAACAGTTGACCTAGAATCCTTATCTGCTCATTTCAACATATGGGCCATCTCAGAGTTGATTTCCATTAGATTGTTTTTCTTTTTGAAGTATAGATCCCTTTTTGCTGTTCAGTCTAGTGACTTTGAACATTATGAATGCTATATTGTAAAGGGTCTGGAATCTGTCATGTTCCTCTGATCAATATTTAACTTTTGTTTTAGCAGGCAGTTAACTTGGCTGAATATGAACTCTAAACTTTGTTTCTCCTGCAGTTGGCAGCAAATGAGATCACTGTTTAGTTTTTTTTTAGCTTTAGCTGGGCTGCATGGAGTTGGTTTTTTTTTTTTTTTTTTTTGGTGCCTTCTCCGTAGAGTTGTTTTTTATTTGTTATGTTGTGTCCAGCTCTTTCTTGGAGAAGGCAATGGCACCCCACTCCAGTACTCTTGCCTGGAGAATCCCATGGATGGAGGAGCCTGGTAGGCTGCAGTCCATGGGGTCGCTAAGAGTTGGACACGACTGAGCGACTTCCCTTTCATTTTTCACTTTCATGCATTGGAGAAGGAAATGGCAACCCACTCCAGTATTCTTGCCTGAAGAATCCCAGGGACGGGGGAGCCTGGTGGGCTGCTGTCTGTGGAGTCACACAGAGTCGGACACGACTGAAGTGACTTAGTAGTAGCAGCAGTAGTCCAACTCTTTTGTGACCACATGGACTGCAGCCTGCCAGGCTCCTCTGTCCATGGGATTTTCCAGGCAAGAACACTGGAGTGGGTTGCCATTTCCTTCTCCAGGGGAATCTTCCCGACCCAGGGATTGAACTCATGTCTCCTGCACTACAGGCAGATTCTTTGCCACTGAGCCACCAGGGAAGCCCATAGATGACTAAGTGTAATCAAGTAAAATTCATTAATGAGTAAATGAATTCCATTAGAGGCCTGATTGTATCATTTTATAGGATGTGAAAAACACGGTACCACGTGACTTTGGGCAAGTCATTTGACCATGTTGGGAGTCAAAATGTCTGTGATCTGTTATTTTTTTTCCTAGAGTGAAATGTAGCTGAGAGTGGAAAGATTCAAATACTCTTTAAAAAGTACTTGATGATATGATTTGAGGTAGAAAAATTGGGATTTACAGAGAACTTCCCAGGGATATATAGGTCACATAAAATATTAATCTAGGTAGTATTAATAATTTAATTTTTAATACTTGATTTTCAAAATTTTGTTCTATCATTTTAGGTATTAGCTAAGGAAGATGTTGATGCAGCTATTCAATCAATATTATATAGAGAAAATTATATAATTAAGGTAAGAATTGACTACAAAATGTGTCTCAGTTAAAAATTAAATTTTGTTTTTCTATTTTAGATGTAGTGCCATGTCATTATAAAAATTTTAGAAAATATAGAAAGTAATGGAAACACTCCTTAGCCTTTAGGATTGACCTTGAAAGAACTCTGAGATTGCTTTAATTTACTTCTTCACTTTTATACTTTGTGGGGATTCTTTTATAGATAGCTTATGAGAGTTTCCTCCTATTCACTTGTTTCTTCATTTTAGTGGGACTTCTAGGAATCCCTGTCTATTTTTAAGAGCTGTTATTGGAACACACTGATGAATTATTACTCAGGAATACCTAGGTAAGGACAAGGCTTTAACTGTAGCAGGATGGGCTTAATTATAAGACAAGATGAATGTCCATGTGACGTGTACTAAACTCTGGAGTGGGCAGCCTATTTTTGTTTTTAAGAATTTTCTTTGGAGTTTAAAAAGGAAAGGAATTATTCACTGAGAATGGTAGAGATGTGCTATGACCTGAAGTTATGGAGGGATATTACCTGGAAAAGGTCTCAGGGTTTTTAGTACTTTATTTTTTTCATTAGAAATTTCATGTTGTTGATCCTGGTAATCACATGATTTCATTTGCTAGGTGAAAGGTGTATAAGAAGTTTTGTTGAGAATGATTTAGTTTTATAGCCTGATTTAGGCATTTTCTTTGCAGGCTACTTGCCATTTGTACCAGATTGTGCTACAGTTCTGCCTTTTTACTCTTGTCTTTTTTTTCCTGGCCACACCGAGCAGCTTATGGGATCTTAGTTCCCTGCCCAGGGACTGGACATGCACCCCACTGCAGTAGAAGTGCAGAGTCTTCACCACTAGAGGGCCAGGGCAGTCGAAAATAACTGTTCTTTAAGGTCTATTCAAGCGTCTACCAATTTGGAAATCTTTTAAAAATTTTATTGGAACTCTTATGGTGGCCCAGTGTTAAGACTCCATACTCTCAATGCAGGGCACATGGGCTCTATCCCTGGTTGGGGAACTAACTAAGATCCTGCATGCTGCACAGTGTGACCAAAAAAAAGAAAAAAAATTGATTATTTTTCTATTGTAGTAAAATACATATAACATAAAATTTGCTTTTTAAACCATTTTTGAATGTATAATTCAGTGACATTAGTTACATTGATATGTTGTACAATTGTCACCATTATCTATTTCTAAAACTTTTTCATCACCCCAAACAAAACTTTGTTCTTATTAAGCAGTAACTCCCCATCCCTCCTTCTGCAAGCCTCTGGTGACCTCTGGTTTATTTTCTGTCTCTCTGAGTTTGCCTAATCTAGTTATTTCATATAAGTGGAATCCTAAAATATTTGTCCTTTTGTGTCTGGCATATTTCAGTTAGTATATTGTTTTTAAGGTTCATCCATGTTGTAGCATGTGTCAGAATTTCACTCCTTCTTATAGTTGTATAATATTCCATCATTTGTATATATCACATTTTGTTTATATTTTTATCTGTTGATGGACACTGAAGTTATTGCCACCTCTTGGCTACTGTAATGATGCAGTGAACACTGAGCCCCATATATCTCTTGCTACATTGTCCCTCCTCCCATTGTTTTGTAGATTTCTTTTGTAGTCTGTCCTCTAGGGAGAGCAGGTATATTATCTAATTTATTCATGTATTCTTTGTTTCCAGTATTGTGTGTATCACGCATCAGAAGCCAATGTAGTGATTTAATTAATGGGTACTTTTGTGAATTATTCTTATGAATATAAATTAAATTTAAATTTTGGAACAAGAAAACTAAGATAATATATTTGTCTTTCCTATCACTGTTTACTAGGAATTAGATAAGTGTTTAAAACATCATGACTTCTTAAATGCAAGAAGAAAAGAGATATTGTATAAGAGATGGGTTGACCATGTGGCAGATCCTCTCCAGAAGAAAATTATAGAAAAAGTTACTTCATATAAGAAGATTAAAAAAAGGAGACAAGAAGAATTAGATGGTTTTTTAAAATATGTAAATAAAAAGGTACTAAGGATTCATTTGTTATTTTTTTTCAGTTGCTCAAAAACTATAATTATCTTTTTTTATTTATAATCATCCAAACAGCCTGCCCTTGCCAACTCTGTTATGTATAATCTATACTCTATCATAGCTTATACTATTTTTTTTTTTTTTTTAGTTGGAGGCTAATTACTTTACATCATTACAGTAGTTTTTGTTATACATTGAAATGAATTAGCCATGGATTTACATGTATTCCCCATCCCAGTCCCCCCTCCCAACTTATACTATTCTTAAATCCAGGGCATGTGGAAAGGATGGCGGTAAAGGGGTTAGATCTGTATTTAAATGTGAACATTAGAATCATTTTTCTTTTTTTTTCCTGTATGTAATTGTTAATTTTATATACCAGTTAAAAAAATTTGGAGTCTAGGTTCAAGATATGTGTTGTTGTTTTTTTAATTATGGAGCTTGATTATTTACAAGGTTATAAAATATTTCTGTTTTTCTGGCATTTTAAAGAGATCTGAGATGTTTGACTAGTGAGTATCTAAAAACAAATTCCTAAATCTTTTAGTGTTCTAATACCTTTTATTAAAATCTTGCAAATTTTAATTAAATTCCTTCTATCACTATGATATTTATTACTTAGATACATTATTTATTACAGTTACTGTATAATTATACATTATAATGTATAATTATGCATTATTATTACTTAGATAAATCCAGTTTGGTCTTCCCATTCCATTTGCATTTGTCATTGATGCCATTTTAAAGCATAACAGTGGAACTGTGTATTTGACTCTTGAGTCTTGTTATGTTCAAAATTAATTGTGCACCTCTTATTCTTATGTGTGGTTCCTTCCTATAGGGAAATGCATTTATAGAGCATTATGATCCAAAAGAGTATGATCCTTTTTACACGAACAAAGAGGACCCAAATTTTCTGAAGGTAGACTTCTAATTTTAACTTTGGTATTATGTGGTTTATGTTTTTGAACAGTCTGATATGTAAGTAGTCCTTCAGTGATTCCCTATGAATGCTGTAACATCTTAATCATGTCCCATCTTCACAGCTTTGACTATATGGACCTTTGTCAGCAGAGTGATGTGTCTGCTTTTTAATACACTGTCTAGGTTTGCCACAGCTTTTGTTCTAAGAAGCAAGCGTCTTAATTTCATGGCTGTAGTCACCATCCTCAGTGATTTGGGAGCCCAAGAAAATAAAATCTGTCATTGTTTACACTTTTTCCCCACCTATTTGCCATGAAGTGATGGGACTGGATGCCATGACCTTAGTTTTTTTTGTATGTTGAGTTTTAAGCTAGCTTTTTCACTTTCTTCTTTCATCCTCATCAAGAAGCTCTTTAGTTCCTCTTCGTTTTCTGCCATTAGAGTGGTATCATCTGCATATCTAAGGTTGTTGATATTTCTCCTGGAAATCTTGATTCCAGCTTGTGATTCATCCAGCCTGGCATTTCATATGATGTATTCTGCATCAGTTCAGTTCAGTCACTCAGTCGTGTCCAACTCTTCGCGACCCTGTGGACCAGGCCTCCCTGTCCATCACCAACTCCCGGAGTCTACTCAAACTCATCTCCATTGAGTTGGTGATGCCATCCAACCATCTCATCCTCTGTCATCCCCTTCTCCTCCTGCCTTCAATCTTTTCCAGCATCGGGGTCTTTTCAAATGAATCAGCTGTTTGCATCAGGTGGCCAAAGTATTGTAGTTTCAGCTTTAACATCAGTCCTTCCAATGAACACTCAGAACTGATCTCCTTTAGGATGGACTGGTTGGATCTCCTTGCAGTCCAAGAGACTCTCAAGAGTCTTCTCCAACACCACAGTTCAAAAGCATCAATTCTTTGGCGCTCAGCTTTCTTTATAGTCCAACTCTCACATCCATACATGACTACTGGAAAAACCATAGCCTTGACGAGACAAACCTTTGTTGGTAAAGTAATGTCTCTGCCTTTTAATATGCTGTCTAGGTTGGTCATAACAGAAGTTAAATAAACAAGGTGACAATATATAGCCTTGTTGTACTCCTTTCCCAATTTTGAACCAGTCATTTGTTCCATGTTCGGTTGTAACTGTTGCTTCTTGACCCACATACAGGCTTCTCAGGAGATAGGTTAGGTAGTCTGGTATTCCCGTCTCTTTAAGAATTTTACAGTTTGTTGTGATCCACACAGTCAAAGGCATTAGCAGTCAATGAAGCAGAAGTAAATGTTTTTCTAGAATTCCTTTGCTTTCTCTGTGATCCAGCGAATGTTGGCAATTTGACTTCTGGTTCCTCTGCCTTTTCCTAAACCCTGCTTGTACATCTGGAAGTTCTTGGTCCATGTACCACTGAAGCCTAGCTTGAAGGATTTTGAGCATAATCTTACTAGCATGTGAAATGAGCACAATTGTGTGGTAGTTTGTACATTCTTTGATACTTCTCTTCTTTGGGATTGGAATGAAAACTAACCTTTTCTAGTCCTGTGGCCACTGCTGAGTTTTCCAGATTTGCTAACACATTGAGTGCAGTACTTTAACAGTATTATCTTTTAGGATTTTAAATAGCTCAACTGGAATTCCATCACCTCCACTAGACTTGTCTGTAGTAATCTTCCTAAGGCCCACTTGACTGCATACTCTAGGATGTCAGGCTCTAGGTGAGTGACCACACCATCATGGTTATCTGGGTCATTAAGACCTTTCTTTGTAGAGTTCTGTGTATTCTTGCCACCTCTTTTTAATTTCTTCTTCTGTTAGATCTTTACCATTTCTGTCCTTTATCATGCCCATCCATGCATGACATGTTCCCTTGATATCTCCAGTTTTCTTGAAGTGATCTCTAGCCTTTCCCATTCTGTTATTTTCCTCTACTTCTTTGCACTGTCCATTTAAGTAAGCCTTCTTATCTCTCCTTGCTATTCTCTGGAACTCTGCATTAAGTTGGGTATATCTTTCCCTTTCTCCCTTGCCTTTCACTTCTCTTCTTTGCTCAGCTATTTGTAAAGCCTCCTCAGACTACCACTTCCTACTTTTGCATTCCAATCCCCTATGATGAAAAGGGGTGTTAGTCCTAGAAGGTCTTGTAGGTCTTCATAGAACCGATCAACTTCAGCTTCTTTAACATCATTGGTTGGGGCATAGACTTGGATTACTGTGATGTTGAATGGCTTGCCTTGGAAATGAACTGAAATCATTGTCATTTTTGAGATTGCACCCAAGTATTCCTTTTGTTGACTCTTGTTGACTATGAGGGCTACTCCATTTCTTCTAAGGGATTCTTGCTGACAGTAGTAGATATAATGGTCATCTGAATTATGTTTGCCTATTGATTCTTAAGATGTGGATATTCACTCTTGCCATCTCCTGCTTGACCACATCCAATTTACTTTGATTCATCAGACCTAACATTCCAGGTTCCTATGCAATATTGTTCTCTACAGCATCAGACTTTACTTTCACCACCAGACACATCTGCAACCTAGCGTCGTTTCCACTTTGGCCCAGCTGTTTCATTCTTTTTAGAGCTAATAGTAATTACCCTCTGTTCTTCCCTCGTATTGGACACCTTCCAACCTGGGGGACTTATTTTCTGGTGTTATATCTTTTTGCCTTTCCATACTGTTCATGGGGTTCTTGTTGCAAGAATACTGCAGTGGTTTGCCATTCCCTCCTCCAGTGGATCACATTTTGTCAGAACTCTCCACTAGGACTGTTCATCTTAGGGGGCCCCGCACAGCATAGCTCATAGCTTCACTGTTACACAAGCCCCTTCACCACGACAAGGCTGTGATCTGTCCAAAAGGTTGCACAGCTGTCAATACCAGAGTATGAGTGTGTTTCTAAACTCATATACAATATTGCTATAGCATCTTTTTAAAAAATATTCCTTATTTTGAACCTTTAGATTGTTTTTGACCTATTACTGTTATAAACAACAGTATGATGAGCATCCCTTTAACTATTTATTTCTTAATTTTTTCCTTAGGATAAGGTGCTGGTAGTAGAATTGCTGAATTAAAAGTTATACGTGATTTTGATTCATATCATGAAATTGTCCTCCAGAATGGTTATATAATTTGCACCCCCTCCAGCAAATCTGGGCTTCCCTGGTGACTTAGTCGGTAAAGAGTCTGCCTGCAATGTGGGAGACTTGGGTTCAATCCCTGGGTCAGGATGATCCCCTGGAGAAAGCAGTGGCAACTCATCCCAGTATTCTCGCATGGAGAGTTCCATGGACAGAGGAGCCTGGTGGGCTACAGTCCATGGGGTCACAAACAGTCGGACACAACTGAGTGACTAACATTTCCACTTCCAGAGAATCTACTTTTTTCACATTTTTGCTAGTAGTGGATATCATTAAACAAAATAAGACAAAAAACCTACCTTGAATCATAGACATGCCCTGCTGACATTTGCAGGGCAAAGCAAATCTTTAAATTGTTGCCCAGATTTGGATATATGTAGATGCTACTGTCTGTATTTTTATAGGTCAGAGTTAAATTGAGAGTTTATAGAGGTAGATCCTTAGACATGTTAACTAGTAACATAGCTAGTAAGGGTGAGAATTGGGATTTGAAACCGGATCTCCCTGATACCAAAATTTCCTTTTGTTCTTTCACCATGATGACTTTGTAAATGAAGCTGATAGGTGACCTCTTAAGATAAGCTGAGCAATTTGAGGTTATATCAGCAGTTCTCAAAGTGATGTACAAGAACTTTGACAGCCCTGAAACCCTTTTAGGGGGTCCATTAGGCCAAAACTTTTCATAATAGTGCTAAATATTATCAGCTTTATTTCATTATGTTGACATTTGCACTGATGGTGCAAAAACAGCGTTGGGTAAAACAGCTAGTACCTTAGAACTACTTAAGCTGGTGTCACAAATTATACTAGTAGTCATATTCTTCACTGTCATGCACTCACAGTAAAAAAAAATTCAGTTTCACTTAAGAATGTCCTGATCAAACAGTAAACATTATTAATTTTATTAAGTCTTACCCCCACTTTTTTTAAATTGAAGTTCAGTTGGTTTACAATGTTATATTAGTTCCTGAAGTTCAGTTGGTTTACAATGTTATATTAGTTCCTGGTATATAGCAAAGTGATTTATATATATGTAATATATATATTCTTTTTCAGATTCTTTTCTATTATAGTTTATTACAAGATACTGAATATAGTTCCCTTTGCTGTATAGTACAACCCTGTTTTTTATCTAGTAGTTTGTATCTGCTAATCCCAAACTCCTAATTTATCCCTCCTCACCTCAGATCTTGGTCTTAATACTCTGTATGATGAAATGGAAAGTATGCAAAGAATACTTCTGTGTATTGAAATACAGTATGATTGTTTAAAATTTGAGCTGAACTGGCCGATTTTGTTTTTCATGGAACATCACTTTTACTTATAGACTTTGGTTATTAAGTCTTGGATATTTGGCAGACATTTTCTACAAAATTACTGAAGTGAGTCTACCACCTTAAGAGAAACAACTGATGGTATTTGTTGCCAATGATAAAATGTGAGCTTTCAAAAATTTGAATTTTTGAAAAATCGTTCCATCATCAGTGTGACAGTGTCCCAGTACTCAAAGACTTTACTGATACATTGGTAATGATATTAATGAATGTGATTATTATATAATGAAATGTATTAACATTTGGAAGACCTCATATAACTCAGTGATCTAATTTTTTCTAAACCACCAATTAATGATATGGATAAAAGAGCCATTCAGAGTTCAAGATAGGTCAATGAATTTTAATGTAGCAAAGTTTGAATAACTCATTGATATGGTTTCAGATTCCACATCATCACTAACCTTTAAGAAACTGCCACTTGTTGATTTTGGGTATAATATCTAAAAGAATATCCACAATAATCTGAAAAGGCTATTAAAACAAGAGCTTACCATGCTTCTTTGGCTGGAAAGCCTTGCTTGGAGATGTATTGGAGTGCCCGTATTTCTTTGTAATGTGTTAAATATATATATATATATATAATATCTCTCGTCAGTCAAATATATATATATATATATATATATATATATAATAATTAGAATGCCATTTGATTCTTCTGGCATAGGAGCCATGCATGGATGCTTAGAATAGACCAAAAAAGACCTGCAACCCAGTCCTCAAAGAACTGTTTTTCTTATAGGTTACCATCCCACCATTTCGTGACCCTTTGAAAAAGGCACAATATGACAAAGATGATGGGAAAAGAATTCTTCTTCAGTGTGAGACTGGTACTTAGTTTCTACTTGTTACGTGGTTTCATAACCCAAGAGCAATGGCAGTTGCATTTAAGAGTGCTAATTTTAGGTTTTAATTGTCCTACAGGCAAAATATATACAATGAAAGAATTTAAAGAGGTTGAGAAGGCCAAACTGCATTCCAGATTCCCAGGAATTTCTAGATCAAGGCATTTAATGACTCCAAATGAGTGGATTAGACTGCCTCCAAACTACATAGAAAGTGAATTTTGTAAAAGGAGCAGGTAATGATTAATATAGTAGAAATTTAAGGAACCTTTTAGAATTTGAAGACTTTTTCTCGAGACAGTGATATAAATTTTGTCATAATTATGATTTCTTTAAAATATTTTTCTTTTTTAAAAAATTTTTATTGGAATATAATTGACTTACAATATTGTGTTAGTTTCAGGTATACGGGAAAGTGGATCATTTACACATATACATATGTTCACTCTTTTTTTAGATTCTTTTCCCATATAGGCCACTACAGAGTAGTATTCAATAGAATTTGCTGTGCCATATAGTAGGTTCTTATTAGTTATCTGTTTTTTATATATAGTAGTGTGTATATGTCAATCCCAGTTTTCCAGTTTATCCCTCTCCCCCTTGTCCCCTGGTAGCCATACATTTGTTTTCTACATCTATGACTCTACTACTTTTTAATTTAAAAATTTATTTATTTATGGCTGCATTGGGTCTTTGTTGCTGCACACAGGCTTTCTCTAGCTGCAGTGTGCTTCTCATTGAAGTGGCTTCTCCTGTTGCAGAGCACAGGCTCTAGAACTTCAGTAGCTGTGATGCATGGGCTTAGTTGCCCCATGGCATGTGGAATCTTCCTGGACTAGGGATCAAAGCCATGTCCCCTGCTCTGGCAGGCAGATTCTTAACCAGTGGACCACCAGGAAAGTCCAGTAATTTCTTTGGCTATATTTTCCTGTTTACTAATTCTTTTTTCACTGTGTTGAATATTAAAATTTTAATTTCTTAAATGTTCTCTCCCCACCCCATATGCTTGTTCATTCCTAATGGGCTCTTACTGTTTTATCTTAGTGATTAGATTATTTGTTTCTTTAAACATTTTATATACTGCTACTCTGCATTCTGTATTTGATAATTCCAAATTCTGTATTTCTTGAGGATGCTGAATCTTTTCCCTTGCTGACTGTCAATTATAATGGTTTGCTTTCTCGTATGCTTCGTAAATTTTATTTGTCAGTTAATTTTATTTTGGGTGTCCTGTTGGCCTAAATTGGGGGAACTTCTACAGAGGATTTGCTTCTGTTTCTTCCTTTGCTGGTAGCTGGGATGCCATCAACCTGGGCCTAGTTAGCTCTCTTCAAAGGTCTGGGCTCAGAGTGGCGTCTCTCAAGTGTAGTGTCCCCACCTTACCGCTGGCCCAGACAGGGCTCAGTATTCCTTTAGCTCTGTTATTTCCATCTGTCCTCAGGGGTCATTATCTGTTATTTCACATGCCCCTGCTGCCCGCCATTATGGCCCTAGCTTCCCATACCTCTAGCCTGTGCTACATTTGTGTGTGAATGTGTGTGTTTCTTCAAGTCCCTTCTTTTTCTTATGAGACTAGTGACACCTCAAAGGGTACATTTTATCCAGGGTCTAGGTATTTGAAGTAAGTGGATTCCCTCAAAGCAGTGAATTTCAAATTGTGAATTTCAAAATATACAGTGATGGTCTATAAGGACTTTCCAAGGTATACATAGGCATGGACAATTTTAAGAGACTCAGCTTCCAGATTCATAAGTCTATAGGTACTCTTCCCAAAAGTTGATCTGCCTGAGAACAAGCCTGCATCTATATTACTTCTTATCCCACTTTTTAAAAGAAAAGCATACTTTTCAACCTGTGTATAAAAATTTTAAGATACTGAATGAAGGAGCAAATAAAAATAGTGGCTTTTTAGAGACTTTAATGATGAAGCAAGAAAACTTAACCCACAGGCCTTTCTGTATTTCCCTGTCATATATATTTTTTATTTTACTTTAACTAATTCATTGATTTAAAGGCATGCTATAGAACCAGGGTACTTGGTCTGTGTTGGGTTGCTTTGAATTTGGATAGTTGAAGCTATATAATTTAGTGATGCTTCTTTTAAAGTATAACAAATGTTTTCTGGTACTGCCAGAATTTCAAAATCCTCTTATAACAGCTTTATGTGATTGCTTTAGATTTGGTGTGCCTTATTCAATATGGTGGTTAAAATCTATTTTATCAAACAATATCTTAAAATTTTCATTGCTAGTAAGGCCCGCACTCATTTTAACCTAATGAATATTTGATTTTTAAGGGACAGTTGATATTTTTAAAATCTATTAACAAGAAACAAACTATTTAAAGTTATAATAAAAAATTGTAGGTGTCAGCTTTAAAATATCCAAGGGGTTATGTGGTTTTTCAAAACTCCTTTAGGAGTGTATAAACAAAGCTACTTAAAGATCACTGCTTTAGAGCAAGCTCCTAGTCAGCCATTATTATTTATTTTTTTGTTCATATATATGTATCTATACACACATACATATACTGTAAATTCCTTGAGGATAGTAATTGAGTGACCCAAAATCAGTGTTTGTTTCATGAACTAATGAAATAATGTTTGGATATGGTGAACAGGGAGGAGGGGAGCTCAAGGAAGACTCTGATGTATCAAATAGGCCACCGGGAGGATGGAGGTGCTATCAGCATAAGATGGAACATGGGAGGAGCAGATTCAGAAATGCAGTTGATGAGTTTAGTTTTGTTTATTCTGAGTTTTATACACTTGTGGTCCTTTCAGGTAAAGATGTATTACAGATTGTTGGAAAAGTGAGACTACAGCTCAAGAGAGAAGGGGATTTGAGGCTTGAGAACTAAAAGAGTTATTCACTTTGGAATGAGAATAAAAGGATAAGAATGGATTGGATAGGCTGAGGAGAGAATACTGGGGAAAAGAAAAATACTGAGATGAAAGGCTGTGCAATAAAATTTGGGAGGTGGGAAGAAGAAAAGGAGACAGAGGAAGCAGTCTGTGGTTTGCCACAGATGTCAGGAGAGGAAAGAGTGACAAGAAGGATCAGGCCCTATGCCAGATACTCTGGAGTGTAGCAAACTGAGAGGAAGCCATGGGATTTGTTGACTGAGGACATTCCTGCCCATACTCTTAGTTTTCTCTGAGCAAAAGCAGAGGTAGTTGAGAAGGTCTTACCCGATAATACCCTTCTCATCCAGCCTTTTCATTATCGTTTGGTTCCCTTAGTATTTACTCTCATCTCAAGTTCTTCTCCAGGATAGCCTTGCCTAAGAAAGTTACCTGGGGACAAATGAGCCACTGCATTAGCCCTTCTCAGACGTATTAACACAGGAAACCCTTTTGTCCTCTTGTGAGTAATGCTTTATTACTACTCTAGATGTTTGCTGTACCAATTTCTTTTACTCAAACATATTTCAAAGTCCACGTTCTCTAGGAAGGTTCATTCTGACTAAGTTAGCATCAAACTGATCGTTTCCATTAATTCTTTGTGTGGCTATTTGCAAGCTGGGGGTACTGGGTATGTTAGTTGGGATAATGGCTCTTGGTTTTAGACAGCTGAATTTCCCCCTCCCCCAGAAAAGGATTCATTCATTGAGGACTTATGCTGCTCACAAAATCATTGGGAGGTTGTAAGAAACAGGGCTCAAATTTCAGAAATAACTCCCCAAATCACAGTGTAGCACTGACTGACCAAGGGATGTGTTGTTTCTGCTGTGGTCAGGAAATGGCAGAACCAGGAAGCTGCTGCTCCAGTTGTTGGCCTAGAACCCCCAGCTCTGCTGTAATCTGTGCCCGCAGTGGATGCTCCTCACAGGGCTGGTATCATCCTTCCAACCAGTCTTGAGTTGGGGCAAGATGGGAGGGCTCTAAGTCACCTGCCTGCCACCTTATGGCAAGGGAGACTGAGAAATGAGGTGCTGGAGTTCTTTCTTAGGAAAAGCATTTTATATTTATGCTGGTAAATGACACAATCTCTGTAACTTCTTTTTACACTTAGAGTATAAGCTCTAGGATATAAGGAGTACTTTAAACTTTGCCTACCTGATTCTAGGTCCTCAGTAAATAGTAAACCAATCTCTATCATAGTTTCAGCAACTCATAAATACCCAAGAATGCACACCAGTTTGAAATAATGGTATTTTGGACAGTGTATACATAGTGGTCAATATATAACAATAATTTCTCCATAAATGCAAGCTAGTGTTGTTTTCTGAATATCCTCTCACACATGTTGTCTTGTTAAAGGTTAAAAATAAAAGTGAATTTTAATGAAAGCAGTTTTGACTTGAAACCTTTGGCAAGAACTCCTCATCTGGAATTCCAAAACGAAGATAAAGCAGTTATTTATAAGTAAGTCTGCTGTTCCATGGCTTTGTTCTTCTTTCATTTGACTCGCTTGACTGCCACCACCTGCCATCATTTTAAGTTGCTGGAGTCACTCCTGAGGAGTATAGCAGGCTCTCATGGCCAGACACCAGGCATCTACCACCACTGTGTCTGGGTGAGATGACCACTTTGCTCAGCTCTTTCTAGTTTTAAAGAACAAACAGCTGACATGTTCAGAAATAACAAGCACAGATACAGAAAAAAGTTGTTAACAACTCATATTAGAGTTAAAAGTTAGGAGATTTTTAATTGAATTGGAGTGGTAAAAATGAAATTTTGGATTAGTTCTGGTGGGTACTAGCTGTTACAATATTGTATCCAGAGTAAAGAGAGGTTATCAGCAGAAAAGCAGTACATAGACTACTGTGTGTGTAACATGGGGAGTCACCTCCATTTACTAGTTATGGAATTAAAAGTAAGAGATTTCTCTATATATAACTTGTTAAGCATCTGATTAAAAGTAATGAGGTCCCTCAGACATTGCTGAAGGGAATATAAAATGGTACAGCAGCTTTGGAAAATAATTTATCAATCAGTTTCTCAAATGTTAAATGTTAAATTACCAAGTGACCCAGCCATTAAGCTCCTAGGTTTATATCCAGGAAAAATGGAAATATATGGCCACATAAAGGCTTGTATATGAGTGGGTGTTCATGACACCATCATGCACTCAAATGTTCATCAATTTGTTGATGCATAAACAAAATGTGGTACATCCATACATGGAATATTATTAAGCAGTTAAAAGGAAAAGAAGTACTTACACATGCTACAACATGGATGAACTTCAAAACTATTATATTTAGTGAAAGAAGACAATCACAATTTTGATTCTATTTATATTTATGTGAAATGTTCAGAAAAAGCAAATTTTTAGAGCTAGGAGGTTGATTATTGGTTGCCTAGTGATGGAGTTGGAAATGGAGAGTGACTGTAAGTGAGGGTGAGGTTTTGGACTGACAAAAGTGTTCTAAAATTAGACCGTGGTGGTGGTTACACATCTCTGTAAATATAGGAAAATCATTGATCTGAACACATAAAATGGATGCATTTTATGGCACTAAATTATAGCTCAGTAAAACTGTTGACAATAATAAAAAAAAGAACCTAGCAAGGCAGAAGGGCATATGACGTTTAGGAGGTTGGCTTATAATTCTCTGTTACTAAAAAGCCAGAAAGTAAGCTGCAGTGGGTTTCCCTTTTCTTGTTCTGAATAAACTCAGAATTTTTTGAACAAATATAATGTGACAGAAGCCAGAAGGCTTTTAGAAATGCTTGATTCTATCATGTCCCGCAGAGAGAACAACTAATTGCCTCGTGAGGGTCTTTTTAGTAGATTTAAGGTAGAAACAGGTGACTGTTGGAGATGGTGCTGGCCATTGTGGACTTCTCAGTGTCCTTGAGGGGCATTTAACGCTTTGCTGCTCTTCTGCATGGGAACTGAAATTGAGGAATAATAGGAAATATTGAAAGTAAGCCCTATTCACTTGGCAGCTGAAGTCCTTAAAAGATGGACTGATTCAGCATCACCCTTGTATATTAGGTTCTGAAAGAGTAAGTTCCTCTACAATCTGTAACTGCCATGATCTCATACACACTTGAGTCAGGTTTTAGAATAGTAAACATTTTAGTCCTATTTAGTTTTTATATATTGTATAAAAGGGACGGTTTTGTCCTTAAATATCTTTTGTAGCAGAGTATGACCCAGATATGAAGGAGAATATTGCATCATTGGAATGTGTAGGGGTTTAAACTAGAGGCTTAAACTCATGAGATCTCCCTGAATAAGAAGGAAGATTACACTATATTTTCTTCCATGAATTAGGGAATCATCCCAAGTATGGCTTCCTTGGTAGCTCAGTTGGTAAAGAATCCACCTGCAGTGCAGGAGACCAGGGTTCTATCCCTGGGTTGGGAAGATCCCCTGAAGGAATGACAACCCACTCTGTTATTCTTGCCTGGAAAATCCTATGGTCAGAGGAGCCTGGCAGGCTACAGTCCATGGGGTTGCAAGAGTAAGACACCGACTTAGCGACTAAACCACCACCACCACCCAATTACAGCATCGAAGTGGAAAAGGCATATTTGTCTCTGACAGAGTTAGACCTTCCCAGGGAAGTTACAGTGTATACCTCTGTAAGGGGGTGAGGGTCATTTATGCCACAGGACCCTCACTCAGCTGTTTGATTAAGCAGTAATGAGATTTTGGATGAAAATGTTAGTAGAGCCAAGTAATGCTGTTTATTTTTCATAAAAATGTATAAATTCCTATAGAACTCATCAACCTCAAACTTAAATAAAATATTAAATGCTATAGTTGAGTTGATAGAATTCTTTCCTTTCTGGTTCCTTTTTCCACAAACACAGGGTCATCCTTTCTATGTTATCAGGAGGGAAGAATCCAAGTTCCAAAGAAGCCAACTCTAAAGAGCACCTTTCTTCCTTGAACTTCCTTGAGCTAGGAGGAAGACGGGGATTGGGACCAGGATGCAGCGAGAGCTGGGGTAGTCCCATTTTGCAATACACACAGCAGCAATTGCTGATACCAAAATCTGAGCAGCTGGGAACAACTTGTATGGCAGGCTTCCCAAAGACAGGAGGCAGTGGGCCATCCTCCCTACCCTCTCCCCCTGCCAAAAAAGGGTGAGGGAGTGAGTAGAAGAAACTGAGGCAGGTTTTCCTGATTAAGGGGTATGGAGAGCGAGACTCCATGTACTGCCTAATGGAGTGTCCTCTGGAGGGCAGACTGTATACTTTCCTAGCTTCTTCTCATTAGCTTTTGCTCTTCTACTCCTCCACCATCTCAATCATCTCTCTACTGTTATCAGATAACCACGCTGAAGCTGTGTCCCAAATTTTGTTCCTCTTAATTTAGCCAAGAAAGGCAAAATTTTTCAAAAGGACCATATACTAAAAGTAGTAAGGTTTGAAAAGTAAAAGTTCCCAAATGTAAAATATATGGAAATATAGAGGCTCACCTAGCACAGATTTCTCATCTAAGGTGACTATGGTTAAAATTGGTGCCGTTTGACTCTTGTAGCCTAGCCTCCTGCTTTTAGGCCTAGGTGCTACTACCCTTCAATTCTCTTCTCTACACCCTGTGTCCCAGGTCTCTGGAGTGTAGCTTCTTTTAGGAGTGGATTGAAGAAGTCACAGCCCATCCTCCTCATCTCCCAGTTAGAAATCAATATGGAAATGGTTTGTTAGTCCGAGTCTACAGTTAGTCGTTCTATCATTCTTCTTTTCTGACTCTGTTTCCTCACTCCTACTCCTAAAGGATAAAGGAGCTCCTTTTTTTGTTTTAACTCACTCATGGTAAATGTATGAAAACTTAAATTTGTGGTTTCATTCCTTTTACTTGTCATGTTTTAATATCCTCCCCTGTGCTTGCTTCCTCAAATTTTTTAACAATCACCTACTCTGAACCATGCAGTATTTGAAAGGCTGAAGACTAGAGGTAAACAAAACATAAATCTCTGATCTCATGGAGCTTACATTTTGATGAAAGATGGACAGTAAAGCAAATATATGATATCACTGAGCTAGTAATAAGTACAGTGAGGAAAATAAAACAAGTTCCTGGAGAACTACCCAACACCACATGTTTTAATGGACAGTGAGGAAAAATACAAGTTACTTTGTAATCATACCTTACAGACCCTCCTTATGTATTGTAGTAGTTATGGGTATCTTGATATAATCAGCCCCAAACAAGATTATGCTTTACTTTTGCACTTCTGCCCCTCCTCCTGTCAGGTTTCTCTTAGTTCAGTGAATAGGGCATAATCCAAGAAGGAGCCCCGGGATAAAAGTCTAAGAGTCGTTTTTTATTTCTTGCTTTCACTCAGTTCCCATGTCTTCTAGCTCATGTCTGTTAGCTTGTTCACGTCTCAGTTCCTCAGTCCTACCGCTGGCTCAAGCCGCTGTGGTCTTACCTGACCTCTTGCACTAGCCTCCTGACTGGTCTTCCTTCTTCTGCTCTTGCCTCTGTATAATGAGTTCTCATGCAGCACCATAGTCTTTTAGAAATGTTTATTACACCAAAATCTTCCCCTACCCCAAACCAGGAATCCTAATGGCTTCCCTCACACTTTGGATTTTATCCTAACTCCTAATGGGTCCTCTAACCCCTGTACAGCTGGGCACCTGCCTCCTCTCCACCCTTATCACCTGCCTTTTTCCCACACTCACTGTGTTCCTTTTCTTGTTTTGTGGCACACCTTATCAGGCTTTTGCTTCTACCATTCTGTCTGCCTGGAGCACCCCTTCCCCAGATCTCCCCATGCCTCATTCACTCAGACCCCTGCACAAATATCATCTCTCCCAAGAAAGCTTCTATGACTTGTCTACTTAAAATACCTCCTTCATCCATTTCTCTACCCTCCCTATCCCCTTTACTTGTGGAGAGGTAGAATCCAGGACTCAACTGGAGGTCAGGACAATCTGTCATTGTAAGAGGAAGGAAGGACGCAGAATGCATGGCTATAGATGAAGACACCTTGGTGAATTTTGTGAATGAAGACTGTTTACTTCTGTTTACTTCATTTTCTCAATGAAATCAGGTCATTCATGAACTGACAGTGAAGATGGAAGACAAAGATTTAGAGGTTTGAAAGGAAAAGGGACGAAAGGAACCTAGTATTTTATAAATCACAATAATCCTAGTGTAAATGAGCACTCCAGACATACTGACATCTGAAAGCAGGACCATAGGTGGTCCCTCAGATCATATCCCACATCAGTAGTCTATCACACCTGTAATAGGGTTGGCTCTGTACTGGAATCTCTGTATGTTTCTGAATCCAGATGGAGTGAGGAGAGTCTGAGTCAGGAGGCTTAGAGGGGACCCTGCCTCCAGGCCACTTAGCTCCAACAGGAGGACTAGGCTTCAGGGAGATCGGCTCAGCTAAGCAGAGGAATTCTTTCTGCTCTGGAAAACCCCTCATCCCTGTATCAGTCACACTTTTCTCTTCTCTTCTGTCACTTTCAAAAGGTTTTAGCAACCAAGGAGTACACACCCTGGTCCTTGACTGGTCAAAGAGGACACAAAAGAAGGCTGCTTCAAAGGAAGCCATCTGCTGCAGGAAGCGCTCAGATTGAGGACCAAGGAAAGCATTCAAGAAATGTTCTCTAAGAAAAGCATCTGCAATGAACTTTGTCTTTGAGTCTAATTGTCTGTATGATAATTAAGAAATGACCATACTATATATTGACAGTTATTGCAAATGTATTTCCCACAGGAGTTAAATGTTGCCTCAGAGATAAAATAAAAATAACTGTTGCCTTATTTAGCACTCACCTCAATTCACTTGCTCTTTCCTTAAATTGTCAGGCACCCTGAAAATCCATACCCAGATAGTCTCCCTAGGTTTTCCCAACAGTCTTTAGAAAATTTAAAAACTTCTTTTGATTATCCATCCGCTGATTCTGGGTCTGCATGTCTGCCTCTGGCTCATGTTGAGTTTGACTCCTGCTCCCAGGAGCTCAGTAGGCAGGATCTGGAGCACAGAAGACAATTAGGTTTTCCTTGGGTAAAGGGGGCGCTGAAAAATCCATCCTCACGCTTCTACTTGTAGCCTTAGATCACACAGGTAAATGGTACTTTAGTATACTTTACATGACCTACATTTTTTTATTAAAAAAAAAAAAACAAAAACCTAGGGTGGTGTCGGATTGGACGGTTGAAGGGATTGGACGGTGGAAGGCTGGTGGGAGTGGAGGGGCGGCGCGAGGTCGAGGGGGTGGGGGGCCCGAGCTCCCCTCTTTGCTGACTTCCGGGTGGCTAAGAGGCCTAGGCAGACTGAGGGAAGAGGGGTTGGGGTCTAAGCAGAGTGCTTTAGCTTGGTTTTAGAAGGCGCTCCCTTTCTCCCTCCCAGAGCGGTCAGTCCCCTGTGCCGTTTCCCAGTGGCCCTGCGCTCGAGGTGGGGCAGGGAGCGGCCAGGCCCGCGACCACTCCAGCAGCCCCTCCGCGGTGGACCCTGAGGTGTTGCCCGGCTGGGTCTGCAAGGCCACAGGTCGGGGAGCCTAACTAGTCACCCACTTTGCGAAACAGGTTTAGGGGCACTGGAGGATTTATTTTTTGTTTTACTTAACCGAAGTGTTTAACCACTCTCTGAACTCAAAGACTACACTTTTTCAACTGGACTCGGCTATCTCTTCAATTTACTCTTTCTCCCCTCAGGGATTATATTATGTATGGCTGCCACAAAAATGTCCAACTGTGGTAAACATTTTGGGCCTGAGCAATTAGAAAAGTGGCCAGAACCCGAGTCAGTCACGTTGATGGAGGTAAAATTATATGGCATTTAGGGGCCGGCTTTTGGTGACGGGACAAAAATCCCTTGAAATTAAGATTTATTGTGTCTTAATCACAGTTGTTTTCCCCAGAACTAGAACAGCGCCTGACATAGACTTGGTGCTTAAGAAATGCATCCAATGGGAAGGGCAGGGGGTGGGGGTCACAGTTGGCCCAGGGCGGTTGCCCTGTTCCCCGTGGTCAGGCGGGGTGAGGACTGCTACGGGGCGGCAGTGGGTAAACGCAGCAGTCCCCGAGCTGCCCTTCAGGAGAGCAGGGGAGGCCCAGCCTGGGCTCGTAGTTACTTCATGATGCTTCAGGATCTGGTAAAGCAATGATTTTCTCATAAAGTTTCATTATTTTATAGAGAAGTTCTTGGATATTTCCTCTGTTTTACCCCTTTTATTGTGGTGGCAGTAAGAGTGGTGAGATTGTGTGTGTGCATGCGTGCATGCATGTACATGCACAGAAAAATACAGATTTCAAAAGTGCTGCTAGAAATCATTAACATCCTCCTTATATTTTCTGACAAAATCACCAAGAGGGAGCTGTTAAAACAAAAACTATTTAAAAAAAAAAAAGTTGGTTTGAAAATCTGCATATAACCAATAGTATGTATAACATTTGCTAATAGTGTTAAAAAATTTATTTCCCAAGATGATTGTTATTGTATGTTTCTACTTCTTCAGATAAATAAATTGATTATTCTAAATTTGTATTGTTGTATTAGGCGAAAACATTTAATTGTTTTATATGATTTTTCAGTTATCACTTATAATAAGTTTAAGAAGGCTTTATTTTAAAATAAGAGTCTGTTCATATTATCAGGAGAGTTTTATTTTGGAGAAGATCATAGTAGCTGTCTGAATATCATTTTAGATTTCATGCAAAGCTGTTATATATACAAATAAAAATACAACTGTCCCTCTCAAGATTTCTGTTATTCACAGAGTTGGTATTTGAGTGTGGGGTTTAGTTCATTTTGATGCACTCACTGTGACAGAACTGAAAGAAAAGTCAGAGATTGAATAACATAGTTTTAAGAATCTGTATCACTTTACAGTAGATAATTCTTTTAGGTAACAGCACTTCTCTTACAGATACTTAATTTTTATTGCTTTTCCATTTGTTCCTACTTCTCTTTACTAAGGCTGGATGGAAGATCAGTTCATAATGATCCAAATGAAAAGCCCTAGAGTAAGGATTTAAGTGCATCAGCTTTACCCAAACTCATAATGGAAACAGCTAGTCCCTAAATGTAAAACCATCTTGGTTCTTAGCCAGGAGTTCCCAACTAACTGGCTCTGGTCCAGTCAAACTAAGTCAAACTTCTGCAGTTTTGACTTATAAGGAGGTTTTAACTTATAAAGAGACCTAGCAGAAGTCAGGGAACTTCAAGGGCTTTTAAAACATACCCACAGACTGCCTGTAAAGAGGCTTCGTTTTATAGTTGTTCAGTCACTAAGCTGTGTCTTACTCTTTGTGACCCCATGGACTGCAGCACACCAGGCTTCTGTGTCCTTCACTGTCTCCTGGAGTTTGCCCAAACTCATGTCCTTTGAGTTGGTGATGCCATCCAACTATCTCAACTTCTATTGCCCTCTTCTCCGGCCCTCAATTTTCCCCAGCATCAAAGTCTTTTCCAGTGAGTCGGCTCTTCGCATCAGGTAGCCACAGTATGGGAGCTTCAGCTTCAGCATCAATCCTTCCAATGAATATTCAGGGTTGATTTCCTTTAGGATTGACTGGTTTGATCTCCTTGCAGTCCAAGGGAATCTCAAGAGTCTTCTCCAGCACCACAATTCAAAAGCATCAATTCTTTGGTGCTCAGCCTTCTGTATGGTCCAGCTCACATCCATACATGACTACTGGAAAAACCATAGCTTTGACTATATGAACTTTGTCAGCAAAGTGGTATCTCTACTTTTTAATACACTTTCTTGGTACTTTAAAAATCATGGTGTGGGCTGATTCATGTCAGTGTATGACAAAACCCACTGAAATGTTGTGAAGTAATTAGCCTCCAACTAATAAAAATAAATGAAAAGAAAAAAAAACAAAGACATATCTAGAAGACAATAAAAAAAATAAAAATCATGGTGTGATGTAAGAGATTTGTTTCAAAATAATCTAGTAGGGGGTAGGGGAGTGAGTAGGGATTTAGATGAAATAAGATTCACTGAATTGATCATTGTTGGACCTGGGTGATGGATTCATGGAGAATTGTGTTTGAAAATTTCCATAATAAAAAGTTACAAAATATGTTTTGAGGTACAGATGTTAGATTCACACTCAAATTATTGGTAAAATACATTGAGTTTCGTCACAGGCTTGTTTATTCAGGATTCACATCTTAATATTTAATTCTATAATTTTAGGCATTAGCCAGAGAAGACATTGATGAAGCTGTATATGCAATATTATTTAGAGAAAATTGTATTGCAAAGGTAAGAGTTGGCTACAGAGTGGATTCTAAGTGCATTCTAGATAAGCACGAGTGATATAGAGCAGTGTGGCAAAGAGGATGTTACCATGTCAGAGAGAGTCATTTTTTCTGGGAGAATGAGCCTCCCTTGAATCACCCATTGATGCTACATAGATCGGAGCTGGTGCTCTCTCCTTGCAGGATCACTAAGAGGTCAGGTTTCCCAGATTTATCCTTAAGGGATCTGAGAGATTGTTCTAACTACTCCCCTGGTACTGAATAGAATTTTTTCCTAGAACTTACCTCTCTCTCTTACGTTCCCACATCACAGTGGGGAGCTATAAAGCCATGAAAAATGAATTAGTATTTAAGGGTAATGACCAATCAGTACTGATCGTCACTATGGAATTAATAAATTTAAGGAGGTTTTCATCTCAATGAGAGGGATTGGAATTTGATATATAATACTTGAACATTTGTACTATGACATAGTTTATAAAGGAGGTTCACATATATATTCTCATATGAGCCTCAAAAGATGAAGGTAGGTTTACCCTCAGAGAGAAAGAGAGGTGTTGAATCAAGTCTGGTGCTCTTATTTCTCTACTACTTTTATCACAGACTTTACTGATGATAAAGGCTGGAGATGAGGAATGGTGACCAGGGAATGCTTTGAATCCTGAAAAGAAGCACAGTTTCCTGAGTTAGGAAGGGTTTGGATGTGGTTTGGTCTGGAGGCACTATTGTGTGGCACTTTCTGTGGGTTCTGCATGCTCTATGCTCTCAGGTTCTCTTTCTGAACTTTATTCTGTTCTTTGATTATCTTATTCTATGACTTTGCAGCCTGAATGTGCTGAGAGGTTAGGAGTGGGAACAAGTGTCCCCCCCCCAACTTATTCTGATTAAAATAAATATAAAACCTCTTAGTAACTTGTTTTTTTTCCTTGTTTTTATCACTTCATTAGAGATTGGATGCGTATTTTCAGCATCTGGATGCTTTTAAGGAAAGAAGAAAAGAGCTGTTGCATAAAAAATGGACTGAAAATGTCGCAAAGCCTCTTCAGCAGAGAATTATGGAAAAAGTAATTTCATATAAAGCGTTGGAGAAAACAAAGCAAGAGAATTTTGAATATTTTTTAAAGCACACAAATAAAATGGTACTGAGAGTTTTTTAAAATGAAATATTATTTGAAAATTTGGACTGTTATTTTCATTGATTATGCAGATTCTCAAATTTGTTTTTGTATCTAAGATGAATTCATGGAACTGTAAAACAGCCTACTGCATTTTTAAATTCAAAGTTTAAGGTAGAGGGAACAGAAGTGTTTATTTGGAACTAGATTCATCAGGCATGCTTTTCGGTGATTGTTAATAATGTAACAGGGGCTTAAACCATAAGAACATTTATTGGTTACTCAATAAGAAACAGAGGGGGAAAAAAAGAAACAGAGGGGCTAGTGGTCTTATGGTGGATTCTGGCAGTCTAACAATGTCATTAATAACCCAGTTTTGTTTTTTTCCTGTTCTGATATCCTGAGTATTTTCAGTCTATGCCCATCATCCTCACATTTGTAAGCACGTTTGGTTTCTTATAGCTCTGGGTATTAGGCAGGAAGAAAGGGTAAGAAATGATGTCTGGGGGCCCTTTCTTACATCTCATCCTTTGATCAGGAAGCAAAAAGTCCTCAGAAGCTCCTAGCAGATTTCTCCCTAGCGGTCATTGTCCATAAACCAGGTCACATCAGAAGTCCTAGCTAAAAGCAGAGCTGGGCAGGTGTGTGTGGCTTTCCAGTCTTCAGTACGTTGTGGGTGAAGGAGAAGGGGACTCCATGGCTATTGAGTTAGCAACCATTAGGTGAAGGGACCACCAGTTTCTATCCTCTGTTCTTCAGTTTTATTAAATAAGAACAAATTTTGGCTTCTTCTATGGAAGGTTTTTCTCTGTTTAACTTTGAGATCAGGACCCTCTTTTGAAATTGAGGCCCACCTAAATTTCCACATATTCAGCAGAGATCTAGAGTAATGTGACTGGAATTTTAGAGATTTAAGTATATTTAACGAGCAAAATTTCTGGATGTATACATTAAATACTTCTTCCTAAGCACCCTAAGAGGCAGAGCTCAAGGGTAAATCCAGGTCACTTTGAAACAAAGTGCAAAGTCTTACAAGTATGTGTAAAAATGTGATTGCACAAGCATATGATGGGAAAGCCATGCCTTAGAAAAACCATGTGTTGAAGTCAAGTGATTTAAAATGACAGTAAATTCAATGTGAGTCAGCCATGTGAGCTGGCTTCCAAGAAATCATCCAAGCTTTTAGGCAGTATTGAGAGGCAGTGCTCTGAGTGGGAAACGGGTCCAGCCTGTCTACCCACGGACAGTCACCAGTTACAGAACCTTTAGAAAAGAGTGGAGGCTTGACAACACTTCACAGGAGGAAAACTGGGAAAAAATATATAGCATGTTTAGCCTAGGGAAGAGATGACATGAGGGGAAATGACATCTTTAAGTATGTATTGTAAAAGGCTGACATGTGGATGAAGAGTAGATGTACTTTATGTTGCTTCATGGGGAGAACTGGCGATGACAAGGCAGACTTCAGCTCTGTTCTAAGGACAAGCTTCCTAGTGGTTAGAATGATCAAGGGAGCATCTGCCTCATGGAGCAGAGCTGTGCTGTGCTTAGCTGCTTCGTTGTGTCTGACTCTTCGCGACCCCATAGACAGTAGCCCACCAGGCCCTTCTGTCCATGGGGATTCTCCAGGCATGAATACTGGGGTGGGTTGCCATGCCCTCTCCAGGAGATCTTTACAACCCAGAGATCAAACCCAGGTTCTCCTGCATTGCAGGCAGATTCATTACCATCTAAACCACCAGGGAAGCCCGAGAGTACTGGAGTGGGTAGCCTATCCCTTCTCCAGGGGATCTTCCTGAAATCGAACCGGGATCTCCTGCATTGCAGGTGAATTCTTTACCAGCTGAGCTACCAGGGAAGCCCTAATGAAGCAGAAGTTCCTCAAATAAGGCTAGTGGGTGACTTGAGACTAAAGCTGGATGATTACTTCTTCCAGAAGGTGGTGGACTCTCACTGCAGTCCAGATTACTTCTAAGGTTTCTCTGAACCCTTTGAATTTATGATTTTATATAAAAAATGGAATAAAGTATTTCACTTTTTTGAATCTTGCAAACACACACTTGTATGTAGTGCTTTGCTCTTAAGTGTATTTTTTTGTTTAAAGGAAATTATATTTGGAGACTTTTATGATCCTGAAGTATACAACCCTTTTTATATGACAAAAAAGGACCCAAATTATGGAAAGGTAAGTACATTACCTATTATCTATTTATTCTTAGAAGCTCTGGGGTTGGGGAAAACCTGATTGTTTTAGAAGTCTTACAGTTATTCTGCATTCACTTAAAAAAAAAATCCACAAAAGCATTTCCCCTGAGTTTTAGATTAAGAACCCAAAGTCATTTTGACCACTTGGGAATGAACATTGTGAAAAAGGCACATGCGTGTGTGTGATAATTCATTCGTTCATTCTTTCCTCTATCCACTCACATTCAGCAAACCGGAAGCCCAGGAGGTTGGGGAAGGTAAGTGGACAGTGAATGTGACAGGAGTGTCACAGAACCAGCTCAGGGAGAGCGCCTTCATAGAAGAGGTGGAAGGAGGGATGCAGGAAAGGCTGTCCAGGAGCCAGTAGTTGAGCTTGTAATGCATCTTCACATTTCACACTGACAATATAGGTATTAACATTTTGAGATGTAGATTTCACGTGTTTTAGTCTTGCGTAGCAGAAGTGGCCACCTGATCTCTGAAGAGAAAAGTGGTTTATTTTTGCTTCTCTCCAAAAACTAAGGCAGGTCATGGTTGTGAAGATAGGAAGGTCTTTTTGGCTCTGGGGGACTTGGTGAGTATTCTGTTGGGGAGTCATTATGCTGTCTCCTCATTCAGTGGCTGTTGGCCTTGCAAATAGCATTGGGTCAAGATCAAGTGTGTGGGGAAGTAAAAAGGGGGAATAGTTCTTCCGTCTAAAGCCTATACTCAGGATGTGGAGAGAGGAAGAAAATCACCGTCCTCCATGGCCTCTGTAGCTGGCCCTTGACCTCAGCACATACCATTCTCCTGCCCTCCAGTTCTCACAGGCCCTTAGAGACCAGTGGTCAGCCCTCGAGGAGTGCCCTTCCTCCCAAGCCGGCTTAGAGCTCTGCCTTGTGCTCCCAGGGCTTCTTTGGGAGCTCAGACGGTAAAGCGTCTGCCTGCAACGCGGGAGACCTGGGTTTGATCCCTGGGTTGGGAAGATACCCTGGAAAAGGAAATGGCAACCCACTCCTGTACTCTTGCCTGGAAAATCCTATGGATGGAAGAGCCTCGTAGGCTACAGTCCATGGGGTCACAAAGTCGGACGCAACTGAGCAACTTCACTTTCTTTCTTTCTTTTTGTGCTCCTAAAGCAAGAGAGTTCCAGAAAAACATCTATTTCTGCTTTATTGACTATGCCAAAGCCTTTGACTGTGTGGATCACAATAAACTGTGGAAAATTCTGAAAGAGATGGGAATACCAGACCACCTGACCT